AGAATAACGTTGTAGTAGTTTGAGATTCAGCGAATCTCAAGTTTCCTTTCTTTTTCTCCCGCGCAATACCTAAAGCCTGTTCGCAGCATCTCTCAGTCTCGTGCTGTCTGAGCTCAGAGGCAGACCCTTGGCCATCATGATGTCGGCAGTGGCCATTGGTTCTGCCGGTCTCACGCTGTCACGTGTTTGATGACAGTCCCTGGAGGTATTGCAACATGCCACATTTTTTTCTTCAGTTGGTGGGAACGAACACTGTTAGCGTCTCCTGTACTTATCTCTGCATCTGGAACTCTTACTCAACGACTTTGCCGTGAACCTCCCCCAGCGCATCGACCACCGAGCGCAGCGTTGTAAAAGTCTACTTCGCAACCTATGAGGCAAACGTAAATTGGCTCAGATGTTTTGACCGCCATTCGCCGTTAAAAGTCCCTTAAAATTGTAATTTCGTCAATTTTACTAAAATGCATTCATTTTCCTGACCATTCATTTAATTGTTTTGGATTACGCCATTTTTAGTACCTCATCCACCATCTCATGTTATGACTTTTAATTCTGGCATTCAATTTATATTTCCCATTATCATTGTCAAATACAGTATGAGACAGCCTGTGATTCATTTCCCGCTTCCCTCATTGTAGGATTAGTTAACAGAAATAGCTATTTAGGTAACGTGTTTTGTCTGTCTTCCCGCAACAACGCTTGTGCAGCAAGAGCAAACATTAGCTGCAAGGGCAATATTTTTGCAATAAGGACAACACTTTGACTGTAAAGGCAATACTTTTGCTGCAAGGACAATAAGTTTGGCGCAAGGGTCACTCTTTGGCAGGAAGAACAACACACTTGGTGAAAGAATAATGTTTTATGCTGTAAAATATACCCCTTTTTGCTGCAAGGTCAACACTTTGGCTGCAATGGCAACATTTTGGCAGCAAGGGAAATACTTTGGCAGCAAGGGCAACATTTGGCAGCAATAGCAAAACTTTGGCAGCAAGGGCAACATTTTGGCAGCAAGGGAAACACTTTGGCAGAAAGGGTTACACTTTGGCTGCAAGAACAACACTTTTAGCGAGAGGACCACACTTTGGCTGCAAAGGGCAACACTTTGGCTATTGGGGCCAGAGGGTTCATCTTGCCATGGAAGTCAACCCGTTTTTGATGGTCTGTGGGCAACGGCTGCCGTAGCGATTGCGGTCAGCTAACCTCATAGAGTGGATTAAACATTCGAGTGTTGTAGAAAAAAGTTCTTAGGTGGAAGTTAATGAAATCTTAACCTATTTCACCACTTAGGCAAAACAAATACTTTTGGGAGAACATATTAATGATCAATTTCCGGAATCACATAAACAAGGGAAATAATGTTCCGTCATATGTTCATAATTTGACTATCATTCATTCATACAAGGATGATCATCAATGGTGGTAGTCACCCTAGTGAAAGCCAATAAATTTGAAAAATTTACTAGTATTTGTCAATTCCAAGCAACGAATTAAATCGACAATTGCCTGTTTCACTCGTAACCTTAAAGAAAAAACATGCCATTATAGTTAGTGGTTCAATATACTGCAGTTGTCAAGTATAAGTATATACTCTATTGAAGGAAGCAAAAACGGCAGTTCATTGATTAAGCAAACAAGTTCTCAGCTCTACGGTCTTTACCGCCAGGATAGACGTGCTTTTGTTTCTCAATTCAAAGTTTTCCTCTACTTAATGTCAGTAAGTTATAGCAAAATATAGCATACGCATTGCATAACTAGAAATTCTCAACAGTGAAATAAATAAATCCGTTCAAGCAAAACGGAGACGCCGATTTCAACAGTAATGGCAACAGTAATTTCAACAGTAAATATTTTCAAAAAAGTATTGAACGACTTCATTGCGATAAAATTCACATTCCAGTTTTGCTTGAATGTATTCATTCATTTAACTGTGTAAAATTTTTAGTTGTGTGACGCGGTTGCTCTATTTTTAATAACTTACCGACTAGGATAATTTAAAGTAGTGGAATAATTTCTGTTCAAGGAAACAAAATAAGTAATTTAATCCTAGCTGTAAATACCGTAGAGTTGAGCACTAGGTTGCTTCATCAGTGAACTGTTTAGAACGTTTTTTTTCGTGAATATAATATGCTAATAACTTAGTATGCTATTACTGGAAAACTACATTACAACGAACCTCTGACTATACCAATTGTGTTGAAAACATGCCAAGAATAAAGAACAGTTTTTTTCTTATAGGCTGCGAGTGAAAATAGGCAAATGTTGTCGATTTACTTAAAATCTTCGTTCGATAGTTTCTAGAATTGAGTGATACTGGTACGAATTGTATTAGAAATTTGAACAAAGTTTGTCTGAAGTACTCTTATTAAAGATAACGTTTAAACTGGACACATATAGCAGTAATCATTGCACACAAAGTCTCGGCATTAGGTTTGGGTCACATTATTTTTAATATCATCTAAATCTTTATGAGTAAAAATTCTAATTTGCATGGGAATGAATTTCACATTGCAATAATATTTGTCTTGTTAATAATTTCCATTTCCAATGGTGTTTGAGACTGGAGACTAGAAAAACACTGCGTATAGAATAAAGCTATTATCAAATAACTGCCCGTGGTTTGCTTTAAATGTGGCTTCCGGCTTATTTATTTTCGAAGCCCCCATCTCCACGAACTTTTAAAAAATTTTTGACTATAATTTATCTAAGCCTCTTTTCATCCATTTCTTCATCTAAAAAAAAATCATTGACTAAATGATTAAGCGAGCAACTCCCACCGACCATACCGTTTCTCCTGCCCCGTGTCACTGCATGTAAGGATAGTGCTATTCATGTTGTATACAGAGCAGTTTTTTCATAACATGAGTAACGGCGTTCCGGGCAAAAAGTTCGTTTTTGACTTTATCCGACAATACAGTACATCTAAGCTGCCCTTGTCCATTAAACTGGTTTTAAAAATTCCTCATTTATATCGTGTTTTGTTCAATATTGACCAGTTTTACGCTGTTTGCATGACCTGAAGCCATATTACAAAACATTTTTTTTTGCGCTGGTAATCGCTTCGCTCCTGTTAATATCAGTCGACATGGCTAGTCTAACATCATAAATGAATTGTTCTCAACCGTCCATCATCTTGCGACAATTTTGTTCCGTAATTTTTCGGACGAGCTGCAGATGGAATTTTATTTTTCATTTGGTCCGTCGGTCTGTAATTTCTTTCTCAATATCCAACGCTACAACAAAGAGAAAAAAGTGAGGGTATAATGTGGTAGCAATTGTGAGCTGTGAATTAGGAACAAATTCGCTCTTTCATACATTTAAAATATATTCGTATCAAGGAATAGTATGTACACATACATGGAGGCGCCAAGATTAACTCTACTTAAAATATGACTCTGGCTCTGTAAAAGTTGTCTAGTTAATTTTGGGACTAGCTTCAAGAAATGATTGTGTTTAAACATAAAAATTAAGGACTACAGAATGAAAATTCTTTTGCATCACTTATTGCCACACAAAAAAATAATCTAGCACAAAAAGTTACTCATTTAATAAACATGTCAATTATCTGAGTACTTACCAGTTATCTTGCCATAACTGAGGATTGAAATTCAATCAACCAAGGCCTAGGTTAAGGTTTGTGAAAAAAATTCAGTCCGGGCTACAAAGTAAATCTTTTAAACAAAAACGCACGAAGAAGTCATACTGAAAAAATGGTTGAAGCCCAAAATGACTGATGTCTTCCTGGTAGAATTATTTTTTTTTTATTCAAAAAGTTTGTCTATGATAAAATTATAGTACAAACATCATCAATATGTAGGCATATATACTTTTTCTTTCTTCACTACTTTTTCCCCCGCGTACATAGAGTAGAACATTTTTTGTCTCACTTTAGAATATCGAAAAAATATGGAATAATAAGTGCCTTTTTATTCATTGCATCTCGTGATTCCATAACGAAAGGCTTCGTCGATTTGTGTTCGTTCAAAATAGTATAGAGACGTAAGGCTAAAATCAATACAAACTAATTTTAAGATTCATCATTGGTAAAGGACTAAAGGTCAGATTCTGGTCATAAATTTTCGTTCAAGTAATCGTGTAGTTTCTTGCAGATTAGAAACATTGTTTCAAATTGAGAGATCCATTGATCCATTTTGCTGAAATATAGGTCTATAGTTATTAAAATATAAGCTAGATCGAAAGAGAGACGTGAGAGTCTCTAGGAAACCTTGTTTCAAGTTGAGAGATCCATTAAACCATTTTGCCGAAATATAGGTCTTATAGTTATTAAAATAGTAACTAGATCGAAAGAGAGACGTGAGAGTCTCTAGGAAACCTTATTTCAAGTTGAGAGATTCATTGAACCATTTTGCCGAAATATAGGTCTATAGTTATTAAAATAGTAACTAGATCGAAAGAGAGACGTGAGAGTCTCTAGGAAACCTTATTTCAAGTTGAGAGATCCATTGAACCATTTTGCCGAAATATAGGTCTATAGTTTTCAAACTAGAAACTAGATCGAAAGAGATACGTGAGAGTCTCTGGACCAATCTTTTCTTGGAGCTCCGGCGTTCATTTGAGGTCCAAATCAACGACATCACGGCGGGCTTGTTGGGTCCAGAAACGTGATTTCGCCAGCTCGGTTTGGCAAGCAAGAGTCGGATTCTGTCACACTTCTTTGCAATGGCGTCTAATTGGATGGCAAGGTCGTATCCCTCGGAACTTTGGAGAGAAATCGTGCCAGGGCAAATCTTTGTTTCGCAATGATAAATAGAAATAGCATTCCTTCTATTGATTAAATTGAAATTTCTGTTACTTTTTAGATTAGTTGCGATAAAAAGGATTAAAAACAGCTCATGCCTTGAATAACTCCAGGATAATTCTCTTAAATTATTTTGAAGCCTGCCAAAAACCATTATGTTACAATCAAATAAAATTATTACCGACCCAATTATAAGATGGTTCAGAATGTTCCCGATTATCGACTTCAATGCTTTAACACTCACTTGATAGTTGCCGTATCCAAGATGATCACAAGGGCAGCGGCAGTTTTGAAGATGTCTCTGCAGGTCAGGTGGTAAGGAGCCTAAAGACTCGTGGGAGCCTCTAAGGCCCCGCCATTCTTCAAAATCTCTGATATCGCAATGACTAGCGTGGCTCTGAACACTGCGGTCATCACTGACGCCCACACCGCTAACTACACCTCCCATGTCTAGTGTGTAGGACTCTGGTGGCTCCGGTGGCATGCAGCTTGAGTGGATCTCGACCATAGGATAGCCAGGTTCTGAAGGAGGACCGTAGTCACACGGAGCGCCCCCACCAGGACACTCGGAACACACTTGACTGCAACTGTCATCGGAAGCTGGCGCCGTGAAGGCAGAGGCACCAAAGCCCCGTTGCAAAGATGGATAATCAGAGCTTCTGGGCGGCAGGCTGTCTTCCCTCTCCAAGCCAAACTTAGGTAAAGAGACATCGCAATAACGTTTGCTGCTAATTTTATAATCCGGATGTACAATGCCGTAGGTGGCGGGAGCCGTGTGTTGATAATAATTGGGGTTGGGTTTGAATTCCTCCCTAGAGGGCTGGGGAGCGCTCATGGGTATACGAGTCTGAGATTTAGGCGAGTATTCTTCTCGAGTTGCTCCTACATTTGACGGGTCGCCACGGTCAGGGACCCTTGAAAAGGGTCCGCCTCGGACAAGGTTGATGCGGACGTCGCCGTTGGCCCATTCCATGGCGACGGCGTCGACCCTACTCTGGGGCCTGGGGTCAGGCCATGTTGCCTACACGAGGCCCTGTGCACAGAGGGCCCAACAAGCACTGTAATAAAGCTCCTATGAAAGAACACCTACTGGAGGTATCTTTCAAGGGCCAAAGAGGCCGCGCACTGCACTGCGACGCGGTGTGAGCGCTGCAGCAAGATCGACACTCTCACTTCCTCTCACTGGGCTACGAGCGCGACACTGAGCCCCCGACCGTCCCAAACCTGGCAGCCTCTCACGCCGCCGCTCTCTCCTCCGGAGCTCTTCACCTTCCAGGACTCCTCTCATCCCTTGCTAATGGAACGCAATGTTGAGGTCTGAATTTCGAACATGTTTGACATCAGTTTATACCTAATCAATAATTCAACATTTTAGCATTATATGCTTTAATTCATCATGCAAACTTAACAGAAATATGCACGGTGATAGAACTAAAGGTTGGCGGGCGAGCAAAGTGGGAGAGCGCGGCGCTGCACCGCAGCCAAGGTCTAGAGAGCGGCGTTCACGAGAGGAGCTCGTGTGCGCATCCTGCTTGCCGGCTGTCATGTCCGCATGATTGGTCCTCTTCAGATTCATGTGGCGCATTACAATTATACTCGTGTTGTCCGCAGAGGTGTGATGGTTCAATGCTCGATAGATAACTACGCATCATGAATTACTTGAGGATTAATGAGCGAAGTTGTAATTTTACTTGAGTTTCCCACAGCCGTAATGTTCGCTTAGTCCAATGCACGATAGTCAACTACGCATTTTAAATTTCTTACAGATTCATGGGCTGCCTTACAATTGTACTCGTGTATTCCGCAGAGCTAATGCTCGCCAGACATGGTTCAATGTTTGAAAAATAAGCAATAATTTCTCTATAATTTTCTGCAGGGGGAGAGGTTCAATTTTCGAGAAAGATATACGGCATTAAAACTTATCAAAACATTCATGTAAAGCCATTAGGTTGCGTGACTCAATTGATTGATTGATGCGCGCACGGAGCAAAACAATTATGTACGTCATCTCCGTTGATGGCTGATTGATATCATGTGCTATAAAACTCTGATGTGTAAGCTTGCATTTTTACAGCATAATACTGGGCTCTTGGCTTCAAGCATCTTTTATGCTTCTCAAGCATCTTTTTTATTCAACTTTCTTGCAGCTCTCAGTAAACACGTGATCATAAAGATTCAACAGTTAGTTGAGTTTATTTTTGAATTCTGATCATTTATCATTTTTGTAAGAGCTAGTTCAACCTATTACCTACGAATATATGTAAAATTGTTATAAGTGATTTTTCGTTGTTTATTGGCAATATACACATGCAAACGTACCGTGATACTCCGACTTATCAGACATAATTTCGATCCCAACAAGCGTTCAAAGTATTTGGGTAGAATCTCATAATGAAAGCTATTTGCTTTGCTTAAATTTAACAAGTATAGAAAGTATATTAATACATCCATCATTTATCTTTAGATTGAAGGGAATAAACATGTAAATCAAACCTAATGTTTACATCGATTGACACGGCTTTAACACGGCAATAACCTCACACGTTTTTGTGACATTAAGAAATTTCTGAACTTATCTGAAAATTTTCGCGCGGATGATCCGAGATTTTGCAGAAACTCTTTCTTCTCTTCGATTTCTTTTTATTATAATTGTTGCTATTTGTGACTCAAAAAAAAAATTACCGAACATATCTGAAAATTTTCGCGCGGATTATCCAAGATTTTGGATTTTTTGCGAAACACTTTCTTCTCTTCGATTTTTTATAATTGTTGCTAGTCTGTCCCTCCTCCAGCGCCCTCCACCCGCGAGTTTGACCCTGAGAAGTTCTTGCGAGACAGCGGCGGTGTTCTTAAGATTGCCGCCTCGACCGCTTCTGTTGCCATGGCAATGCCGACGATCCCGCCGCTATGTGTCAATCTTGCGCAGTTGGCAGCCACATTAAAAGATGCCACAGAGCTGCGGCCGGCAATCGCTGAGCTCAGTCATACGATCTTGGGTTGGGAATATGAGATTCCAGCAGTAATTAGTAATCATTTTGACATTATCTCTCGTTGATATTTTATTTGATCAAATTACTTTAGTGAATCATATCGATATTTGAATTTCGCGCAGACATCTTCTATATTGAAAAAATGTACGGGTGTCGGCTATTGAAAAATGTATGCTGTGTCGGCTAAAAAAGAAGAAATAGGCCCATGCCGACGATCCCACCGCTATGGTTGAATTAATACACTGTATTAATTCAACCATGTATTAATTCAACCATGCCCACCGCTATGTGTCAATCTTGCGCAGTTGGCAGCCACATTAAAAGGTGCCACAGAGCTGCGGCCGGCAATCGCTGAACTCAGTCATACGATCTTGGGTTGGGAATATGAGATGCCAGCAGTAATTAGTAATCATTTCGAAATTATCTCTCGCTGATATTTTACTTGATAAGAGTTTCATATCGATTTGTATCTTTTCGGTAAATCAATCCGATGACCATGTTCAAGAAGCCCATCGTTTTATTCATTTATAGTGTATACAACTAATTTTGAACGAAATTTAATTTCGTATGGACGTCTTCTATATTGAAAAAATGTACGCGTAATCATACAATATTACCAACAGTGGTGTAATGTCTACTCAAACTGAAATTACAAACTACATGTCATAAGCGTTGCAAACCATGGTTGATCTATATAAAGTTGAACCCACGAGAAGTTCCGCCTCTCAGTTCAGCTTTCTTGTTGCGTCGCTGATATCCAACAAATCCGTCATTCCCATGACGGATTGCTTGACTGGTTTGATCGCATTTCGGTGATTGGTTAATGCCCGTGACGTCACTGAGATCAGTGACGCCACATGCGGACAATAAGTAACATCTACGAAAATGAGCTTCTCGTGGGTCAATACTATACTAGTACAACCATGTTGCAAACCGTCTCACTGAGTCATATTTAATGCCACATGAGCGCATTTCTAATATTCTACTACCCAGAACTGCACTAGTCCTGAGGGGACAAATGTTCGCAAGTATCTGCGACATCCTTTTCAGCGCATTTTCTCATTTATGTAAAAAAGGCGCTATTGTGCTCGGCATGTCCGTCCGTGACTTCACGTCACGGACGGACGAGAAAATACGCTCTCTGTCACTCACTGCAGTGAATACTGATCTAATTTTTCGCTTAAAAGACCGCAAGTTTTCTCTCTATTCCGCCGAAAGCCGTTTTTGCAATGCTTCCGGCAGGAATCAATAAGTTTTTTTCCACAGACAAGTTTAGAATTTAGCTCCACGCGCGGGAGAGCTTCGAAAATACACATCTTTTGAGACGAATTTATGAAATGAATCACAATAGCCGCTTTCTCACGCATAAATTTTTCAAATCGAAACAGATCTTAACCCAATTAACAACGTAGCTATTTATTCACAATAAACTCCTGCTAGCGTTGTCAGAATTATTGTGCGCTTCGTTTTAACGTAGTGCGCTACACACTATGTTAGTTAGTTAGTTAGTTAGTTAGTTACTTGGGCGTGCAAAGGGATCTAAAACCTGGCGTGTAGCGCACTAGTAGAGAACAATTTTTGACATATTTGAACTAGAGAACAATTTTAACATATTCAGTATGAGTGCATTGTGAATAAATAGTTACGTTGTTAATTAGGTTAAGATTTGCTTAGATTTCACGAGATAATGCGTAGAAAACATGCTATAACTTGGCGTTTAATGCACCAATTAATATCAAAACAGAAAAGAAATCGGATCTTGTTATGAATAAGCACCCCAGTATTACCTTTTTGAGAAAACGCACCCTATTATATCCATGTTAATAAAACGCACCCCAGTAAAAACCTTTGGATAAGAACTTTGTTGATCTTCCCTTCCAGGAATGGCTCATAACGTATCGTATATTGCCGCTCAGTACTTTGACTAAGTTATTTAGCTTACCATTTGAGATTTAATGTTTTGCATGTTTTTTACAATGAATTGTAATTCTTATAAAATATTCAAATAGAACCAATTAGTTCATATTATTCATTCAATTAAACTCGTTAAGAATACGCACCCCAGTAACGTGTGTGGTGCTCATTTAAAATATCCAAAAATCTGTCGGTGCTAGCATGAGGATATTGTCAATAAATTTCTCCTTTTTTAATTTGGTACTGATCCGTTTCGATTTTACCAACTTTTGTGTGGGAAACCTGCTTTGGAAATTCGTCCCAAAAGTGTCGATGTGGTCGAAAATACCTACATAGAGAGAGCATTCTCAGATATATTCACGATTTGAGTACTTTCAGATATTTTCCCTTTACATTATTCCATTCTGAATCGAGTCACACCCATCACTGCAGTTTAATTTCGTTAGGTTTAAGTTCAATATAATCATATTTCAACCAGTCGACTAATTATCCTAAAAACACTTGAATAGTAGAAAAGTTAATGCCTTTATCATCCGAAATTTATCTCATCAAAATCATTTATTGCCCACAGAGACAGGAAGTGGGTTCGACCACAGCTTCGTGCCAGAGATTTGGGTCAAAATCGGCAATGTGATTCAAAGCAGACAAATAGGAGTAGCCATGGTTGAATTAGGAGATGTATATAGTTCAACCATAGGAATAGTGAGCTGCAGATCCGAAAAAATTTGCTAGCTGAAGAAATTGGCGCCACTCACCATGCCAGATTTGGCCGTCAAAGCTAGCCTCACTATTACTATAACCCCCACAACTAAGACCCGCAACGATGCAGTCATTGGCGTGAGCTCTGTGGTGAGGCGCTCATGAAAAATGCCCACGAGAGCGTGGAATAATTTAGGACTTCGGAGGAGCAGAGGCAGGCTTTCATCTTTAATTATGTTCTAGCCATTTTCAAAATGAACCCAACCTATTAACTCAGCATATGCGTTTTCCGTCGAATTTTGAAAAAAAAAAAACGTACTAGGTAGTAGGTACTACCAGCGGCGTTTTTTCTCTAACACGTTGACACTGAAGTGGTAATATGTATACCAGGAAGTGTATTTATCCAGGACGTAGTGGGAATTCATAGTAGTGCAAAAACAGAGAAAATAATTGTACAAGATGGAAGCAATAGAAGTCAACGTGTTAAAGTCTTAACATTATAAGGGAAATATGACAAACTATCTCCATCTGAGAGCAAATGAGATCGAGATTCAATGCCGAAAATGCTTATTTATACATACAGAAATTACCAGATGTTATCCATGCTCAATTTGTCATTGAAGACTCGCATGAATCAGGACTACCATGCAACGTCACAGCCATAATGCTTAAAATAAACGTCTAGCGAAAGGTTGAAAATGAAACGCCAGATATAAAATCAATTTCAGTGATAACAAAGACTTAAAAAGTATTCATCGTTCTAGCATGACCTAATAAATCAAATTGGAAGTCACAAAAAAAAATCTGTTATTGGAATATCTATTCCAGAAGTCCTGGGTTTTTTGTTAATAGTAGGACACTTCTTGCTGACTTTGCGCTTTGAACCGCGAACTCTAGATTCTCCATTAGAACTAAGAAATGTTGTTGAAGGTCTTGGTCCAGTTCTTAGGTCACTTGAACAACTAGTCAAGGTCTGAACTCCACTAAAATAATCTTGTAACGACTTACGGCAATCATCGGACTTGGAATCGGGCAAACAACCTTGGGTTTGCGTTCCATCACATTCGAGATTTTCAAAAACCGATTTGCCAGTTGGGTTTCTCAGGTCGCATTGAGCGGAAGGGGATGTCAGGCAGACGTCAGGTGAATCGCATTGCAAGTTAGACGTAGCGAGACAACTATCCAGGTGTTGGTTTAGGGAATCCAGCGACGTACATGTCACAACGTTGCAAACAGGACACAAGAGTGAGTCTCTGATGTCCCATGAATCCGTGGAGTAGTGAATTTTAGGATTAACATCATCCGTAGAGTCTCTCCGCAGTTTCGAGTGACAAATAACCGTATCATCGCCATTAAGATCATTTTGACTGTGACAATCCACGCTTTGTGCACTTGACGAAGAAAGATTTGGTTTCAATATCTTCAAATTATCAATCATGGAAGGCCTGAACTTCTCCTGAATTTCTTCAGAATTTTCGGAGCTGCTAGAGCAGTTATTTGTTTCATCCACGCAAGGATTAAAAGATTTCTTTTTCACATTGCTATCAAGACAAGCGTCTATGTGTCTATTGAGTGCAGTTAAAAATTTTGAATTTATTATTTCACCACAGATGGGGCAAATAAGTTGAGCATTCTTCGACGAATTCGTAACCGTCGCATCAATATTACTACTACTTGGACAATAATTGTCCAGTGAAGGCAGAATTTTCTCCGGATTAACTGAGTCTGATCCATGTTTATCTGATGCTTCAGACAAGGTGTTACTAGCGACAGACTCCGTGACGAGACAGTAATTACTGCTACTCTCGCGTCCTGCTGACACAGTCTGTTTTTCGAACATTTTACTGATCGTAGTCTGCTTAGCTCTGCCGGAAGAAGCCTCCTCACTCAAGTTAGACATACGTACGCCCAATAAACGCAGAGATAATGGCTCGTCTACCGGACATTTTTCCATTTCGGCAATAAGAAGTTTACGCGCAACCTTGCCCATGACTTCTGGATCGCTTGTGGGTTCACCGAGAGCCATGCTGCGAGTTTTCAACACGAAATTCACCGTCTTCGTTTTAAGAGTTACAAGCTTCCCTACAAGTCCTTTCTTCTTCATATCCCCATGCAATTCGATGCTGAGGTCCGAAACCATTTGCATCAGCTTTTGCTTACACGAGGTACCCGTGAAGGTAGTCTCGGTGCTGATGCTCTTTTGTTCACCGCTGGTGTAATTACTGAGGTCTGTCTCCCCAAGACCAAGCGAGATCCGTACGAAATAATCCAGACTACAATCTGAGAAGAGCAGTCGCAGCAGCCCGTAGTTTGGGCGAATCTGCCCACACAATGTTATCCCAAGCGCCTTCAGCTGCTGCTCCGTCACGTTCCCTATGCCGCTTATCTGCAAAATGGATAATTATCTATATTTAAAATGAAGGTGGTTGAATTAATAAGATCGTTTGCGAAATTTGCCATCAATCATAGTTACTATTTGAGGCAACACAACATAAGCATATTTGAGGCAACACGCATATTGAGCGCGATGCCGATGAGTGACACAGCATCACTCAGCCTGATAATTATTGTGGGACTAGTTTCGCAAATGATAACTTCAAACCAAAAATCTCACTAAGGTCGAAAGAACAGCATTTAGAGCTCCATGATCCAGCATTTATTGTAAAACACGACTTTTTGTAATATAAAATGTTCGTATTTAGACAGCAAATTGGAAAATTTTAGAGTATTTCTTCAATATAAAAACAGCGTTTTTCATAACCATTTGCAATAATGAAAATTTAAATTAGTCTTGAAATCACAAGAAGTGAATTCTTAAAATGGATGGCATACGCACGAACAAACTATCGAGCATTCTCGGTAGCAGAATGTAGGAAATTATTCCTATTATCCAGTCTGGAAATGCATAATCGACAATCAAAAATTTTTGTTGAATCAGTTAGTCTCCTCTAATATACATAATACCTATTCATTAAACGATTCATGTCACTTACACTTCTTTAGCTCCCATTCTAGAACGTTACCAGTGGAAAAACTAGATTTGCACTAGAGCTCTTAAAATTTAGTGCATCAAAGCTCCTGTCTAATTCGGCTCGTAAATCGAATAATCGTGAAATGTACCCACCTTCCTGATGGGAAGTTTGTTGATGAAGTCCATGATGGCGCGGGTGTCAGAGGGTAGGTAATACTGACCGTTGGGCTTGTTGAGGTCGCTACACACCTTCGCCAGACGAGTGTTCGCTGCAATGCCTGACATGGCCACAAAAATTATAAATTATTAGTCAGAGAACACCTTCGCCAGACGATGAGAACACTCGAGCGAACACTCGAACACCTTCGCCAGACGAGTGTTCGCTGCAATACCTGACATGGCCACAAAAATTATCAAGTATTAATCAGAGTCTGATGCAGTAGATCCAAGCAATATAGTCAAATATCCGAGTCAGAGATAATAGAACCAAGTTACTTTGAAGTCTCTTACGTCAAAAAGCAGCATATTAAGAGAAACAAATCATGTCATTGCAACGCTCTTCCGAGATGAGCAAGTTTCCTCATCGTAATGTTGATGGGTGCATTTCAGTTAAGGTTATACAATTGAAAACTAAGAAAACCTGGAAATACGGGATTTCATGTAGTAGCGTATTTTCATTACTTGATCTCAAGTTGCCACGCAATGCTCTAGTAATGAGACTAGTCAAGAAACATGAGGTTACCTCATCTCCCAACTTCATTTCTAGATGATTGCATCTACACGAATTCTCGTTTGGTACTTTTATATCATTGCAGTAACACATTGTTTCATACCAGCGCTTGCAGTAAGCTGAGTTGCTTCTTGAATTTTCAACCTCATTTCTCTGACGATGGCCTCCGCCAGCGTCTCGTTGTCCACTTCACTCTTGGCTTGGTAGGCATCAGCATTAGCTTCCATGTAATCAGTGATGTCGAGATAAGCCTCGTCCAAGGACATCATGGCGTAGTTAGGATCGTAAATAGCAAAGACTTGCTCAACAACTCGGCTCACTGCCTTATACTTGGAGAAGTTCGGAGGCACGAGCACCAACGCAGGACACAGTTGACGGGCTATAAAACCTGGCATGCCGGCACGAACACCGAACTTCCTGGCGATGTAGTTGCTGGTGCTCAGCATGCTGTTTCCTCCCACCGCCATTGGCACATCTCTAATGAATATTTATATGATGAGAATTAATGGAATATATTCTAATACATATTCAAAATATGCATACTTAGGAGTTTCATACAGAAATAAACACCCTCGTTCAAATTCAATGTGTGCATGTAAGTCACATCGGTAAATAATGCACTCATTAGAACCTGCTATGGATTAGGATGCACTTTGCAGACAGGGTAGGAGGAAAAATGGCTGATGACCAAATAAAATGGGCTGAAATCAGATGGAATAGCATATCTACATTAATAATATACATTTATACAATTTTAAACACAGTACCTATAACAGTTAATACAAGGGCCATAGTTGCTTCTAATGGCTGAAAATGAAGTACTAGGGGTTTTAGTGAATAATCCTGAACATCTTTAAGAAACTAACATTAGCTAAGTATAGTAGAACAAACATGTTTGGTAAATGGTAGTTGCTACATTCGTGAGATTTAATATTCACGAGTATTCATACTTTAAATTAGGCTGGTCCCTCATTTCCACAGCAGCATAGAACATGTCCATGTCTACATGCACAATAGTGCGGCTGAGGTCTCTTCCTGCTTCACACTCAAGGGCCACTGCTTCCATCTGGCAAGAGAAATTTCCACCATCAGAGGCAAAATTTAATAATATGGTTGGCACATAAATTTGTGGTCACTAACATAATCCCTTCATTCCCTGGGTCTGATATTTCACTAACCTAACATTTATTAAATCAAAATAAAGAGCTCAGTCACAATTTATTTGTTGTTGTGTAAGTAGTCAGTTTATATTTTGAAAAATTTAAGTCATTAAACTAGTTTGTAAAACAGACAATTTCAGCCGTGAGGCTCAAGCTTAATATTGAATTGAATTGCTTATAAATTCTAGAAGTTGAGTTCAGCTTCAATTCCCAATGCTAAGTCATGCAACCTAATAAATATCATCAAATTTTAATTTTTCAAGTCATCAAAAAAAACTGCAAATAGTTTATTAACCTTCTTAGTGGCCTTTTCAAGAAGCTGAGGTGACATTTGCTGGGCTGTGTGCAGCATCTCCTTGATCTTGGCATCCAACTTCTGCTGTGCTTGTTGCTTGTGTTGATAAAATCGGGATCCCTCTGATGCCTTGCGAATTATCTCATTGATCTTTGCAGCATCGAATCCTGCATACATTTTATTATTGAAACAAAAAATCAAGTTTCAACATTAAATACATATATTCAACAGCATGAAACATGACCAGCGTCCAGCTATACCTATACAGAGTTTCAAATACAAAATAATAAATTTATGCACCTAGATGGTAACAGATGACGATGAGCTGGGCACGCCAGAAGAAACTTCATTTGTTATACAGTTATAAGTGCATTACTCTATAAAGGATACTAAACTAGTACCTACTTAAAACTACTTAATAACAAATCAACACAAATCTATCAGTATATTTGAAGACTGTTCAAAGAAAGTTTGAAGTAAATATTGAATTTTATATCTAATGGGAAATAAGGAATGTTTTACCTTGCATTCCAGCCTTATGTGTATTAAGAGTGAGATTACTAATGTGTTGGTGTTTAGTAACTTGGGAAGTAGAATTTAATTTAACATCACTCATTTTAAATAATTTATCATCATCTTGATTTTCCTGCGATGTTACCATAATCACATCATCAACCCAAGACTTTTCTGCTGAATCAGACATTTAAAAAAATCCTGGAAAATACAGAAAGAATCAGTAGTACAAAGAACACTAATAGAACATGCTTGACTCAGATTTGAGGGCTTTACAGAACAGAATGTTCTGGATATATTATAATTATGTAGAAAATGTATAAGTTCCTGCAGTCCACGCCCCACGGTGCAGAAAATGGGTGAATATCAAAAGACATTTGGCGATGCATCAGCAGCAAAATTTACGCTTTCTGAAGATCTTGCTGACAAATTTGGATTGAAATTATGGGGCACATGCCAGAGGCCAGCTTTGCCATACTTCTTAGTCTTACTTACTTCATAAGTTCATATTCCTTTCTATAGGTAGGAACGCTAGAGTCTAGAGTCACTAGAGTGCATAAACCATAATAATGGCCTATGTCTATGAAGTCAAGTGCTCAAAGCCATAGCGCCGGCCGCCGGTCCCCGGGTCCCGTGCTCCCGCCATATGTCCACACTCCACAGCCATAAAATAAGCTTGGTTAGCTTGCCAAGTTGCCAGAGGTAAACATGGCCCCGCGCCCCCGCCACCCATATCTATACTTGAGAGTTGAGGCTACTGCATCTGGGCCCTGGCCAAACCTCATCTGGCTCTGGCCTAGTCTGGAAAAGTCCTATTTTTGTCTGAAATATCGCGGCTCTAATATCATATAATTTCAGTAGGTATGAAATCTCGCGGCTCGAATGTCATAAATTTTTGTTTGATTAAAAAATCGCGGTTTGCACTTTGCTAACATGTCATTTCATAAAATTTGCAACTTCCGCAATCCGCATTGCTTTACCGTTTCCGCCAAAAATATCTTGCAGAAAAAACATAAACATCGTAATGTAAACAAATAAACAAAACGTTTGTTGAAGATCGCGCATAGTTGCGGTCATGTCAAAGCGCCGCGGTCAGACTGTATATTAACACGTGCTGAACTTACAGTAGAGACAAATTTTATTGTTGCCGTTTGACTGTTTAAGGGTAAAATTAGAGATTTGGGATAACACGTGCATAAACTTTGTAAATAAATTCGCATTCGCATCTCGTAAATGGCTTTTCATGGCCGAGATATGGAATTCACGGCTCTGTGAAATAGAATCACGGCTCATAGAAATGGAATCACGGCTGGCAAATCCATAAAACCACGGCTCGAAAAATTCAGTCGCGGCTTGCCAAGTAGATATATTCCATACTAGTTGCCAAGTAGATATATTCCATACTAGGCTCTGGCCTAACCTCTTCAGGCCTAACCTATACAAGCTGCAACCTTTCTCCACCAAAAACTAACCTGAGCAAGTGAGCAGACCTAACCTAACCTCATGTCCTCATTGGCTCGGCTGCAAGAAGCAAGACTTAGAAACTAGAAAGATGGTCCACAGTCCAAGTGTGCTGGTAGAGCCAGTCATTGGCTGCAAGAAGGTTGTGAGCCTGGACAGCCTGAATAGGTTAGGCCAGAGTAGGTACAGCTGGATCTGGATGGGAACTGCCTAGTGCCTGCTTATGAAGTTATGAGTGAGCATTCTACATTCTTAAGCAGTGGCTGAAGACCTACGGCACTGTTATCTTTTGGCAGTGTGTCGATTGTCTGGATTACAGAGTTCAAGCGTAGTCTGCGGCCTCTAGTTCTGATCTTTCTTCTTTTCCGGGTGTCCACGCTGGGTGGACTTAAACTTAAAGCCACAGGACAACCGCAAGGCGCAAGGATGACCGTTGGGCAATGGGCCTGAGAGCTTCTGCAGTCTAGTTCTGAGGCTAAGTAAAGTTAATGCATGGTGATTGGTGAAGCTAGGCGTATCAGGTCTTATTTAAGGGTAAAATTTGTGGCCCACGGCTGCGCCCCGTGAAAAATTGCACCCCCGTCTAAAATTATTGCATTTTAGAAATTATTTTGAAATTACTGCAAATCTGAAAGACCGCAAGCGTACACAGTGAGGTTTCCGGTGCTACGGATGGATCAGGATGCAGTGAAGCTTGTCCGAAAATCAGTAGCAATGTTTGTAAGTTGGGACGCCTGTCGGAGACCACCAGTGCCGTGCAACGAATGGACTATCATGATCCCTTCCCTGAAGAACGTAGCCTATAAAACTTTTTGACTGTAACATTATCAGCCGCAAGCCACCATACACATCACATCCATTGAATTAGATCAAACAGCCCACAGAAAAATAACCTGATGTAGAATGGCTCAGCATCGTCTGCCAACATGCGAAAAAATTTTTACACCACCCGGTCGGATGGCGCCGGGGACGTCCGTATCTTTCCCGTGTGTCGAATCAGCCTACAGTCGAACGGCCACAATGATTAGAGCGTCGGTAATTCTGACTTAAAATTATATTATATTTTATAGAACGCAGTCTGTGGGTGAATTAATTCGTAAATTTAGTTATGAAAGTTAGAGACTTAGAGTAAAGTGTTGAGAAGGCTACAGGAATTTGGGGTGAAATTGTGTAAAGCTTGCATAAGGTAGTGAGATCGAGGGTTTGTTTATAGTTTGAAATGGCGAGGTTATCAAAGGTGCTGACCTTGTGGAACTCACAACCGTCGCGGCGTCACTTCGAGGGTATATAGGCTTAACTGTGCGTGACTGCTGCCTATATAAGGACCTTAAAATTGGAGCCAAGGGTTGGTTCTACGGAGGCGACAGTCACGCAAGCACGGTCTGCACTCAGCGGACGTAACGGCCGCGGCAGTGAGGCCGGCGGTTTGTCGTTTTCGAACATTGACGGTCGCGAGAAACCTAGACTATCGAGGCAGCTACGAGACCGGTGAGCACGTCAAGAAAATCAACGTCAACACTACGGCTGCGACTCAGCCGTGAGACAATGCGAGAGGGCCACGAGTTGTACAACGATTATAACGCACGTCATCAGAAGACTTAAGTTCGAGCTCTACACCGGGAATTATCATCGGTACGGTCATCATTAGTACGGTCACAACTCTCATCAGACGAAGCGTGACGGTCACAGTCATCAACAGAAGTACGGTCGTCATAAACTCTACGGTTAGACCGGCCGTGAGACATCACTGTAATGCGCGGGTAATACGGCCATGAAGGAAGAGCAACTATGAAAGCGGACGCGAGTATACAGAAGCAGTACGGCCGCTGAACAAACGGCCGGCCGCAAACGGGTGCGCAAGTTACGGTTGTTTACAACAGTTGTACGACTCAACGGGACTGCAATATATCAACATTTTCCGGTAAAATTAGATGATTTTAATGATGTAAACTGATAGGTTTTGGACTTTTGATTGTGTTTAGATTACCTTTTTCATGTACTAGAGATTTTTTGTTAACGTAGGATGTGAACTTGAACTTTCCAATTTAATGTGAAATGTATCAGTGTTTCATTACAACCCTCTCTTTGTACTATTTTGCCGTACACTATTCATACGAGAATGTAGCGGATCTCGCTACATAGCACTAATGTTATGCATAACATATCACTAATTCTTATATTTTTCATACTAACATAATATAACTAATTTTTATGTTTCTTATACTAACATTAATATTAACACTCACAATACACATTAAAGTCGTACATTTTAAATCATATTAAATAATTATAACATCATCACGAGAGTTTCGGAGAAAACAGCTTTATCGATCCGGCGGTCATTCAGATTCATTTTTCCCGCCTCGCTGGCGGGAATCATTACCGGCTGGATCGCTTCCCGCGATCCCGCGCCTTCCTTTTTATTTCAATCTGAATAGACTGCCTATGCGCTTTGACGCCGGCGGTCAGACGATAAATTTTGGAACAGAACTATGCTATCTGAAACCTAACCTCAGATGCGGTGAGCTAAAAAATACGTAATTTAGTGAAGCTGTGGAATGCGATCGTCGAAGGACGATAGATTTTGGAACAGAACTATGCTTTCTGGAACCTAACCCCGGATGTTGTGAGCTAAAAGTGACCGTCTGGTGATGCACGGCAGGATGCATGCAGTTCCACTGACGGCCTGGGCTGGTTGGTCGCAGTCCGTTGTCCGCAAGTTACAGTTCGAGCTAAAGTCAGGGTATGAAGTTATGATTCGATGCAACGTTCAGTGGTGGACAACCATTACTCTCTGGGCTATTCGCTCTGGAATATGGTAGCGTAAAGCTGCTAATATATAAAGCGAGACGATGTCATGGGCTGGTTACCGACGGACGGCTTAATCTGCAGCTGTTGGTGGTCATCCGGAAATATGCAAGGCGTTCCTTTCAAGGCTGATTGCCGTGATTGGTGCAAAAATTTGGTGTGCATGGCTGCGTACCCTGCAAGTGCATTTTCCAATTATACACAGAAAGCATCTCTTGATTATCTAATTTCGCGGATATAGCTTGTTGGGGTACGCAGCCGTGTGCCACCAAATTTGTGCACGAATCAGCCTTAAAATGAACGCCTAGAATATTTCCTGTGGACCACCAATCAGCCGAGGATTAAGCTATCCGTCGGTAACCAGCCCGAGACATCATCTTGCTCTAAATATTAGGAGCCTTGAGCCACCATATTCTGAAGCGAATAGCCCAGAGAGTAAAGGCCGGTCCACACGCTCAGTTTTACACAACGATTTGTCTGAGCAGTCCTAATCGTTGCAGTTAAAACGTTGCGTGTGGACGGGAAAACTGCGCAGTTGTGAAGCCGGCGGGAAAACTGCGCAGTTGCATCGAAATCTGAGCTACAAAGCATAGATTCCGATGAACTGCGCAGACAAGTCGGAGCATGTGGACGGTTGCACAGTTTTCCGATTCAATTTGTGCCCAGTTTCAATGATTCTGGCGACAATGGCGGACCTTCGGTAACGTTCTCGGAATAGGTCGCCAGTGGAACTGCATGCATCATGCCGTGCACCACCAGACGGTCACTTCCAGCTCACAAGTCACAACATCCTGGGTTAGGTTTCAGAAAGCATAGTTCTGTTCCAAAATCTATCGTCCTTCGACGAGCGACTTCCATAGCTTCCCTAAATTACGTAACTTTTAGCTCACAGCATTTGAGGTTAGGTTTCAGATAGCATAGTTCTGTTCCAAAATTTATCGTCGTACGACGCATGGCCGTTCGACCGTAGGCTGCTGAGACACACGGGACAGATACGGACGGCTCCGGCACGCTCCGTCCGGGTGGTGTAAATTTTTTTTGCTTATTGGCAAACGACGCTGGGCCATACGACATCAGGCTTATTTTCCTGTGGGCTGATTGGTCTAATTCAATGGATGTGATCTGTCTGGTGGCGTGCGGCTGATAATGTTACAGTCAAGAAGTTTTGTAGGCCAAGTAGGGTACGTTCTTCAGGGAAGGGATCATGATAGTCCATTCGAAGCAAGGCAGTTGTGGTCTCCGACAGGCGTCCCATCAGCCCATGACATCATCTTGCTTTAAAATAAATATGAGAAGATTTACGCCACCATATTCTGAAGCAAATAGCCCAGAGAATAATGGTTGTCGAACTGTAACTAGCGGATAACGGAATGCGACCAACCAGCCCAGCTCGCCTGTGGAATTGCATGCATCCTGCCGTGCACCACCAGACGGTCACTTTTAGCTCACAACATCCGGGGTTAGGTTTCAGAAAGCATAGTTCAGTTACGAAATCTATCGTCCGCCGGCGAGTGACTTCCGAAGCTTCGCTGAATTACGTAACTTTTAGCTTACATCATCTGGGGTTTGGTGTCAGATAGCATAGTTCTGTTCCAAAATTTATCGTCGTAAGACGCGTGGCCGTTCGACCGTAGGCTGATTCGACACACGGGACAGATACGGACGGCTCCGGCGCTCTCCGTCCAGGTGAAAATTTTTTTCGCGTATGGGCAGACGATGCTGGGCCATTCAACATCAGGCTATTTCCCTGTGGGCTGATTGATCCAATTCAATGGATGTGATCTGTCTGGTGACGTCCGGATGATATTGCTACAGTCAAGAAGTGTTGTGGGATCAAGGATCGAATAAACTTGGGCAATCCAAGCTTTACTGAACAAATGCCCAGTTACCTGGAAACATAACAACTAATGTAAAATACTTATAAACGCAACACGGAACGATATAACATAACAGTAACAAGGGAAATATATAACAGTCAACAAGTAAGATTCGTAGAGGTAAGGAACGTTGCACTTACATCATAGAATAGCAGGGGTCAGGTCCATTCGTACTGGCTATTGCATAGAGACTGACAACACCTAGTCGCAGCCGGACCACATTACAACTTGCTACATGACGTCACGCACTAGTTCTTTATTACGACAAGAAGTGTTGTAGGCTACGTTCTTCAGGGTAAGGATCATGATAGCCCATTCTAAGCACGGCAGTGTTGGTCTCCGACAGGCGTCCCATCACGGGCATTAACAAATCACCGAAGTTCGTTCAAACCAATCACCCAACGGTTGAACTTGTATAAGGTTGACCCATGAGAAGTTTATTTTCACGGATGGAGGTTATGCTCGGATGTGACGTCACTGATCTCAGTGACGTCTCGGGCATTAACCAATCACCGCTAAGCGTTCAAACCAATCAACCAATTCGTCATGGGAATGACGGGTTTGTTTGCGTTTCTCGATCTCAGTGACGCAACAAGAAAGCTGAACTGAAAGGCGGAACTTCTCGTGGGTCAACCTTATATAGTTCAACCATGGCTCAACCCATGGTTGAACCATGATTGGTTCAACCATGATTGATTGGTTAATGCCCGTGACGTCACTGAGATCAGTGACGGCACATATGAACAACAAGCTTCATCCGCGAAAATGAGCTTCTCATGGGTCAACCTTATCCTAGTTAAACCAAGAGGAAGCCAATCCGTCATGGAAATGACGGGTTTGTTTATGTTTCTCGATCTCAGTGACGTAAGAAGAAAGCTGAAATGAGAGGCGGAACTTCTCGTGGGTCAACTTTATATAGTTCAACCATGGTTCTAACCATTTGCAGTGCGCGCATTTATTCTCAAGGCATGTAGATCGCAAAAATACACTAATTACACCTAGTGTACGATCTGTCAATGCTACATAAGCCGCCAGCATGCAGCGAATTGCATGCTGGCAAGATGTAGTCTGTACTTATAAATATAATAATAATAGCGGTTTCAGCGTTTAGTAGGCCGTAGGACTGTCGCCGATTCTTAACATCGCAGAACATTCACAGCATTTTGCGGTCTCGAACTCGCAACACACTGCTACAATCTTGCTGTGCTTAACCGTCAGGCATCCTCGCCTATTCTGACCAGAAACTGGCGCACAGAGCTGGGATCGAACCCGCGCCTCTCTGCTCCAATCTTTGGTACTCTGAACTGTAACCACTGGGCCTTGCCCAGTTGTACATTGAATAGGTTATAATTTCTTTATGGCTGGATCGGTTCCGCTCAGCAGTTCATCGGATAAATCCGATACTATTGTCGATGTTATTTTTTACAATAAGTTTCAGGGATTTTCTATTGCTGATATTAAATCAATTGAGTGGTTTTGATCAGAAACGACTTTCGAAAGGCTGTTTTTTCACCTACCATAGCACACAATAAACAGCATTGTGGTAATTGAAAACAAAAATAATTACTGCCGAAATTCATTCGCTTGATTCCGATCGAAATTGAGTAAAAGAACTTCATTCTCATCCATATCCATAATTTGGAGCTCGTCATCGATCCGCTCAAATTATAATTTAAAAAACATTCTAATTTACTTGAATACATTTTTTGTTTGATTATATTAGCTAATTTTATATAATATGACGAATGAGTCACTAAAAAAGGTTCTTGTGTTGATTGCCGGAAATCACATTCGCTTGTAAACAGTTCGATACCTTATTGGGCGAAGTTTTTGGTCTTGTGATCAAAACAACTATGGCGCCTATGATGGCGACTTCTAGCAACGAAGAAAAGGGACTTTTAGGCTCTGCAAGAACCAACTCTCACAGACGTTACGGGAGCACGACAGTCAATATGAAAAAACCTGAACATATTGTTAGACATAAAGTGTCAAAACAGGATACGTTGCAAGGAATTGCATTGAGATATGGCGTTACTGTAAGTATATTGAATTTGGAGATATAGCCTCATATAGGTTACTAGGTAGGTACTTAGCCTAGAACTAGAAGTTGGAATTGAATTAGGAGATTAATGTAAATCACCACTCTGTAGGCCTACTTGTTTTGCTTTAAGCTTCATTGGCAAGTGCTAAACATTATTGTTGAATGTTAGTGCAGTCTGCAGAGTGGTGATTAACATTGAACATCAACAAGTGATTGATTCATGATTTATCTTATGTTAGAAATTTAAAAGCAAAGAAAACACCACAAAAATTGAGCATATCTCTTTTTAAAACGTTTCGGAGACCAGCTCCATCGTCAGTTTGATAAATCTAGACAGACAGATGGACAATTGGACATGGCTAGCACAATAGTGCTAGTTTATGCGCCATTTTATTTGGGTTAAGTGAATTTACTATAAAAAAAAGACCGTGAAAAACATACCTGAAAAAGAAAGGAATGTTTTAGTGACAACCATCATATATTTTGGAGAAATAAATCATAGTTTAGGTCAATTACTTTTCATTCTATGATGCCTGGTGCACAATTCTAAATATGACATTCTATGCACAATTTTGTGATGACCGATGATGCACTAATTTTTTGATAAGTGAACTTTTTTTTGCTCAGCAAGGTAAATGTAATCAATATTCTTTGTTTTTAATCAATTTTTTTCTTAACTGGAGCCTTTGCTAACTGTACTGAGGTTCTACTGTAAATGCGCTTTTGGGGGTGTCCTGAATAGCCCCGGGGTGGTGTCCCGAGTAGCCCCGCCGTGTGGAAATGACCGCCATTTTTTTGGAATGAGATAGGCAAAATCTGTCAATTAATTTTTCAAGCCGACACCTGGGTGCAACTTTTATGCAAGTAAAATTTTTTTAACACGTTGGCCGCGATGTGCGCCATATATGTACACGCTGTACTTCTCAGAATCGCGATGTGTACACATGTGGTACATTCATATGAAAAATACATATTTTTATAAAATATTATTACTCTTTCAAATTTAAAATTTCAATGATACAATTCAATAGGCATGTTAGGGAATGCTTCGAAGTCAACTACTGCTTAGAGAAATAGTTTTATTTTCAAATGCAAGTAATACAAAAATTACGAAATTTGTGTCCATTGATGAAAGCAATATATATCTATCTTTGTATGAAAATGAAATAAAATATTTTCTTATTGATCTGAAACTACAAAATTGGGTGTTGCCAACATCATTATATTTCATACCTGATTGAAGAACAATTATTGCACATGTATGACTTTCCTTCACAGTCACCAATGTATTTTTTTATCCTTTGAGTTTCACCTTTGCTACGGCGCTTCCCTCATGTGCTGAGAGCATGTTGTAGCATTCATGGCAGCGCATCCTGGCTTTAGTTCTAGTTGGTTCAATGACATTGGGCTGTCCTCTGTCCCACTCGATAATTTGAGATATACATCCTGATTTTACTCTTTCTCTGAAATGCTGCTTGTAACAGAAGCTCAAGACAATACCTATATACGATGAATGATCTCTATAAGGTAAATATAACTGAACTAACAATGTAAATACCCTCAGTTTTATTCAGGATTATGAAAACCTGGACACCAATCTCATTCCATAGGAATTTCCATGCGTAATATACATCGTTCACAAAAAGCTAAGAGATACCGGTAGTCATAATGTGTGCAATTATGACTCAAAACTAATGTAGATTTCTTGCGCGCATCACTCAGTGATAAAAGTGATAACTTTAGGCGTTTTTTCCGCAATATGAGCCATAGATGCATGTCTTTGCTTGGTACGCATTGCCCACAGTATTAGAAGTGATTACGATAGGCGGCATGAACCAATATGAGCCACAACAGGCATGGCTTTATTTGGTACACATCGCCTGGAATAATGACGAATTTCAACCCTGAGCGATGTGCACCAAATGCGGCCACGAATTTTACGTGATACGATGACAGAACATACCTCTGCAGAGCTGCACACAACTTTTCTCCTTGCTATCTGCCGGGTAACTGAAGATATTCAAGTTTGAACCTATCGCCCGTACGGCATTCGGGCCAAATCAGCAATCGCGGCCAACGTGTTAATACGGTGCATATTTTTTTACTACAGACCTTAGCAGAAGTAGGTAACTTTTCAAAATATCATTTTTTACCATTTTTTTCAGGAATTTTCCAAAGCTAGTGAATGTAGTATTTTTGAACTTCATTTATACGTACTACATAGATAGGAAAAATGTCGACGTTTATGCCACTAAATCTAGTTTTGCAATATTCCAATTAGTTTTGCTACTAAAACAGTTTTACGCCGTGTCGGAGGACTGTTTGGAGTTACCCCCCCCGTCCCGAGTAGCCCCGGTTGACGGTACTTTGAATATTTTGAAATTAAGTTGTATATCAAGTGTCCAAAATTACCCAGTTCCCAGGATGCTTTTCTTTTGCATCTGGCACCTTATGAATAGCATATGGAATTTTTTGGAGATGTCGTGCAATAGCCCTTGCAAAGACCTTTGAAAGAAGAGAAGAAGCAAGAAGTTATAAACAAAAATGCTCAAAATTGTCCCTTATTACCCTGTTTGATGGAACATTTTCAATTACTGAGAAGTTAGTTTAGAATGATTTGAAACATTATTTCAGATGATTGATAGTACAGACTCAAATTTGTCTATTGTATTGAACATCTTTTTTTCAGAATCTGTCTTCAGTCTTTTATCTCTCTACATCAAGAACTTACTACCAGTCTAAGTATAATGGTTGGTTAAGTGTTCCAGTATGTTGTAAGTGTTCCAAACCCTTAACCAAGACTGCCATAAAAGGAAGAGGTTAATGTCAACTTAATTTTTATTACAGATGGAGTGTGTGAAGCAGCACAACAAATTGTGGTCAAGTGAATCTATGTTTCTTCATGACTTCCTTGAAGTCCCTGTCACAAAAGAAATTTATGATATCTACTCTGATCCATGCCTCTCTGTCTCTTCAAATACCAGTAATGGTGGCAGGTTAGTGTCACATTTGCATGTTCTATTGGTACTGAAGAATTAATGAACATTACATACTACCTGTTGCTTATTTGGTAAAACTGCAAGTGGCGGAACTGGTTTGTCCCTACAGCTTCTCTAGGAAATCACAAAAGTTTGAATAGCATACGGTACACAATTTAGGCTAGTTACATTTATTTGTGCAGCTTTTGAAGTTGTTGTTGCTCATACCGGTATATAGGCAATATAGAATCATATTTGATTTTACAATAATGTTTTCATTATTCCAGAAGTTTGTGTAGGTAGATCATCATGCTCACATCTTTCAAGGATTTTTTTTTGCAGGACTTACCAGTATAGGTATAGTTTTATGTGACTTAGGTATATAAATGATCTATTGTTATTAAATTTGTATGCCCCTAAACCTTTTGGTGTTACAAATCTAAATGCTCTGGTTGCCATATGTAGAGGTCCTTAAAATTTTATCTATATATACGCTTTTAAAAAGTAAGAATAGAATTTTTTCTAAACTTGTGTCTTTATTGTCTCAAGTCTGATGACATTAAAAAAAATAGCATTATAAACACACTTTGTTTTCCAGAGAATTTAGTCTGGATGTTGGTTCCGAGAGCTGCAGCAGCACTGGTCCCTCTTCCCTAGCCTCCTCCCCCCTTCCCCAGGACGTCACCCCCTCCACACCCACATCCCCAACTCGGGATTACTCGGACACACTCCCTAAAGACTTCCTCTCCAAGATAGACAGCAACATCGCCTCCATGAAGTCGTCCATTCAAAAATTTGATGCACAAAAATAGTGAGTGAAATTTGTTTGGAAATTTGTTCTTGTTTGTTTTGTTGGGTTCTATCATTGCAGATGAATATCTTATTTATTTACCCCCCCCAAAAAATTTTTTTTAGTATACGGTAGTGAGTGAAATTAGTTCGGAAATTTCTTCTCGTTTCTTTTGTTCGGTTCCATACCGTAATTGCAGGTGAATATGTTATTCACTTACCCCCCAAAAAATTTTTTTTTTAGTAATGATGAAGTAATTTGATTCTCATCTCTTATGTATTTGTTCTCGTTTCTTTTGTTAGGTTCCGGCATTGCAGATGAATATGTTATTCATTTACCCCCCAAAAAAATTTTTTCTGAGTAATGAAGAAGTAATTTGATTCTCATCTCTTATGTGACTGATGTTTCTTGCAGACCATTACAATATTTTTTGGATGAAATTGGAGCTTGGTATCCGATCACTTCTTTAGAAATGAAAAGTTTAAGATTTGATTTTATCTGTTTTTTTATCAGTAGGTACTAGTTGATATATCTTTGACATCTTACTTTTTAGCTACAAATAAATTTGTTAAGACTTGTCTACTAGTTAATGAATATGCAGCTCCTAACACTCTTCTTCATCTAGCATTTATCAACTTGTTGAGACACTCTAAGACTTCACAACTAATTATCTTCTTTGTATGTTTTCTAAATTTGTGGTTTAATTTCTCAAATGATACGTATGTGGTTTCCTTTCTGGAATTTATTCAGAAAGAAGAAACAATTTCATGTGCCATATTTTGAACGTTTCAAGGTTAATTATTTCTCTACATCTTGAAGTTGGAAAAGTGTGCTTTTCTTCTTACAAATTTTTATTTTAAAATAAAAATACAGTCGTATATTTCTATTTCTGGTTCAGAAAATCTGGTCAAATATATCTATTTATGTAAATTTGTATAGTTCATTAAGCTATACGTAAACTTTCTCATCATAGTTTTCTTGTCAAAACTGCATTAGAACCCTGCAAGAAATTAATATTTAAAAAACCTCCTCAGCCTCAAAGCACATTACCCTTCACCTGACCTGGAGGCTTCAGATTCACCCTTCTATTCTTAGCTCTCATGAATTTCCCTCCCTATTATTGACATGTAGGCGCTGGTCCTGGAACATTCCCTCTGGCAGCACTCTGCCTACTGTTGGTCTTATTTTGTTTTCTCCGAGTTCATCACTTGTGTTCCGTTGTTTTTTGGCCCTGTATCCAGGATAGGCAAGATTCTTGTCATGCTGAAGCACCTAAGTGGAGTTGTGTTAGCTACAGTACTCATTGTACGTATGCGCAGCATTAAGTGCTACTTTTGCACAGTGTTAAGAGCCGCTGTAGTGCAGTGTTAAGTGCCACTGAATGCGTAGTGATGGTGACACCGGGACAAGAGAAGCTTGCCGTTGGTTTGAACACTGTAAAGCTCAGCTAATTTCTCGTTTGTTACTGGTAAGGGGGGCTTAGTTGCCCTTAAAAGAGGTTGCTTACAGCATGGTAAAGGGTTGGTGAGTCTGGGCAAACTCTGGATACAAGTTACCAACGGGAATCGTAAGGATGGTATATGGGTTTGTGGAATGAGGTGAAGATTTCTCAAAATTTATGTCACCTGGTCATGTTCTGCCTTTGATTTATCTTTAAGTTGTGACTTGTTTCTTGTATTCGTAAAAATAGTTGATTTTTAAAAAGTGATTGGAGTTTGGATATCATAAGTCTTCCATGCTCATATTTACATCTCTCCAGTTTTGGAAACTGAATCTCATTAGCTGTGAGTTGTTTGGAAACACTATTTTTATATTCTTTGTTAAAAATGACACTTGCGACATGTCACCACTGCATTGAACTCAATGGCGTTAAATAAAAACACTGTAATGATGATCAGAAAGACAAATAATTATGCCTTATTAATAGAGAAAAAGGTTAACGCTTTTAAAATCTCAATTGACCTTCCCATTAAAAACTGTTTGTAATCCGGGTAGTTTCTAATGACAAGCGGAGACTTGAGTTCTGAGGCTTGCAATTTTTAATTTATATACAAAGTTTCAAAATTTGTATCCTCTAATAGATTAACTAGTATCCCATTATGTGCCCACCAATTTAACAGCTACTCTTTTATGCAACTTGTTGCTTACAACCAAAGCCATTAATTGATAATATGTAAGGTAATGACATTACAATTAAATACCTATATTTGTATTGAACTTTCAACATGCTAAGATGTCAATTGGATGCTTCATATTTTCACGTTACAAACACTGGCATGGACGGCAGAACAGAGGTTCAGCAATTTACAACAAGACTGAAGTGTGACACAATCATTAATTGTGATTTTCCAGAATAATTTCGTCAATACAAATTGTAATTGAAAATAGCGCCTGTCTGTCACATGATTGTTGCCACGTGGTTCATATCAAATAGGTATACTAATGAGTGTTGTATATCAAATGTATACTAATGAGATTTGTACCTATATCCAAAGTGCTTATCATGTTCAATATTCTTATTGAATTAACCAGCTACATATGTCAATATTTCAGGATTTAAATGTAGGTAGTATCACTATAAGCTATGTTGTACTAAGCATTGTGCAGCTACTAACAAAAACTCGATGTATTAGTGAGGAACTTAGAATAATTTGTCTTATAAGTTTGAACCAATGTTGACCCTAATGACTTGTACTTAATATAATATGTGTTAGTCTTAACAGAGTGTTTAGTTATACTCTGCAGCAGCGGGTGGCTAGTTAGCAGCTAATTGGAATGTACCAATTTTAATGTAAAATATTTTTACCGTATTTTTAAAAAAGAAATATTACGATATGAATACTAATTGGCACTAATCAATGACAGGTAGCGTGAAACAAACACCAATTGTTAACCTATCATTTTTAATTAGGTGAGGTTGCACTAAATGTAAATTTGTCTATTTCGGATTCAGGTCTCGATAGTTATGGAAGTATGGAAAATCACACTAATTTCAGATCTAAGACCAATTTAAGGCATTGCCTAGGGAATATTCTGGCAGTATCTGAAGTTTATGTTTTTGTGCAAAACAAATTTTACTTATTTGCGCCCAAGAGGACCAATGTGGATGACACAATTCCGACCTGAATTATTATTGTTAGTTTCCTTGCAAAATTGTGTACCGTAAACTGGGGTAACTTTGACTCCCGGGGTAACTTTGACCACTTTTGGTTTTTTTAACAAAAACCCCCAAAACTCAAAAACTATTTGACATAGAAAAATTTTGTTAATGGGCATTAAAGGCCTAATACTGAGGCTACGTAACACAATAGAAAGATTTAAAAAGTTTGCATATCTAATAGGTTAAAAAATTAGAAATGTGACCCACGAAAAAGAGCTATTATTTAAAGCCTGTCGGAGTACCCCCTACAATTTTTTTTATTTTTTGGTAAAATAACTCCAGGTTTAATGCATTGTAGTAGAACTCTTCTAGTTACATATGCAAAAGACAAATTTTAGGAAAGTGTCATAGTTTGCAAATGGAGGGCGCTGCCCCCCAATGAGGTAACTTTGACCACCTAATGGCAGCCGTGACGGGGTAACATTGACCGGCTTGGAAATCAAGTTAAAATTACCATAGGTACCTATATAACATATTTTATGTTTGATACACCTATTAATGTTGTTTTCTTCATGTTTCAGACTACAGAGTCTTATATATGGTAATTTTAACTTAATTTCCAAACTGGTCAATGTTACCCCGTCACGGCTGCCATTAGATGGTCACATTTTGCCCATTTGAGGGCGGCATCCCCCATTTACAAACTATGACACTTTCCTAAAATTTTTCTTTTGCATATGTAACTAGAAGAGTTCTACTACAATGCATGGAGTTATTTTACCAAAAAATAAAATTGATTTAATCACCCGGTCAAAGAAACCCCAAGAGCTGGGGTAACAAAGACCATCACTTTTTTTAAAATTATATCAAAACTATGAGAGGCAGGAGCCAGCAATTTATGGTGAGTGAAGCTAGAGTATAGACCTGTATTTTGCATGTTTCAATTTAAGTTTAATTTATCTAGTAAAAAAATGGCATCTTTTTGAAAAAAAAGTGGTCAAAGTTACCCCAGTTTACGGTAGTTAATATTAGACGCCAATATGTGTTTTACTCGTGGTATCCAAGTATGCATCGTGAAATACCTTATATATTTTGAATATTACAATAAGATCAGCAAAAATATTGCGAAATTTTTTCATAAGGTACAGCCATTTTTAAACCAACCAGAAGTGTGTTGGAGATTTGAGATGTAGATATTTGACTGATTTGTCTTGAAGTTAAAGTAAAGATTGTCATTCACCTGTTACTAATCATTAGACGAGATGAAACAGCCAGCCTTAGTTCTATATAAGCTCATGTTTCTTGACTAGGCTGAAGAGTGCAATTGTGCTACGTGTGTTGTGCCTTGTATGTTTCTCTAATAACAATAAACTGTGACACAAACACAGCGCTATCATTGCACCCTTCAGCGTTGATTAAGAGTGACATTTTTGTGAGCCATATATTTTTGTCAATGTGCCATTCTTATTTCGTCAGTCGTCCATTTAATAAAAAAGAGAAATTGCATTGGCCGTTACATTATTAATACAATTATTGCGTGTTTTGTTATAGTCGAAATAGCAGGCACATCATGCACTAAATTTTTGATTTGTACAATATCATTAAATAACTCTGATGAAGAAATCAAAACTTTTCCGTACTTGACATATGAATCTATATTTCCTTTAACACGTTCGCGGAACCTTATTTACATGTCTGTTCAGTCAAAAAGCTTATAAAAATTTATCCTTCTTACTGGGCCGCTTGCGTACCAGCAACAGTTCAACTGTTGCGTAGCGGTGCACTAGGGCACCAAAGCCAGTGTTTTCCTTAATGCAAATATTTACAAACATATACCTTTACTGTATTAACTTTTTTTTGAATATATGAGTACCGTACCCAAAATGTTGATTCGAATGTTGGTGAAGTCTGGAAACGGGGGAATCGTGTTATATCCTCAAATTTCTTGGGATACATGGCAGGAGTGAGTTTACTTCTCATTCTCTTCATATTTTTGGGTATTCCACGCTGGGTGGACTCGGAGCCACAGGTCAGCCTTGATGGTGAACATTTAGAAACTGTGTAGTATTCTGATCTCTGAAGCGCATATCAGTTTGTGGCTTACCAATTACTACTCCTGACCTTCCGTTTATATCCAGACGTTGCGAAACTTTTCAACTTGTATCGGCAATGATTGTCTCATTTTCACTTGTAATATTGAGTCTGGAATGATAGTCCAACTCCATAGGTACTAAGGTCACTAGTGTCTTTTATACGCGTAATCTGGACGGTAATGGGACTCCTGTCAAATTCCCTCAGTTGCCAGCTGAATTTTTTTTTATTTTTGTATGGATTTATATGTAGGGAACAAGTATTGAATTTTGATATTAGTTCATAAAAATTTGTCGTAAATGGTTTTGCGGCCTGACGCCCAATAAGCTAGATTCAGTCTGTGTTTTAAAATTGTACTGAATGTCGCCTAGATTAAAACGTGTCTTTTCTTCATGCAAATGCATCATGAGTGGGTGTGTGGTGTCTCCTTGCCTCCGTTTTTACTTGGTGTATAGATGACTCAGGTTTGATTGTACATCCAATGTTCCCTGATAACTAAAATTAAAATTGTCATGTTTTTAAGTGAATAATGTCAGTGTTGCATTGCAACTGTGAAATGGTTTTAAATCAACTTTCTGTAGATTGGAAGTTCGCCGTGGCTTGATGAAGTTGATTGAAGACTATAGCGACGCAACCCCTTGTGTATTGGGGATTCAGGGCGTGTACGTGCAGGATTTTGTTAGAGTTGTAAAATAAAAGCAAAGTTCTACGAAAAAGAAATTAAAACAGAGTACACATATGGCACGGAAGTTGCAAGTTGACTTGAGTGTAGTTGCTAAAATTTGTGCACTGCAAGCTCCCAAATATAGAAATTGCTTCTAAAAATTAATCACGATGCGTTGGGTAAATTTAATGTTCATTATGCTCTCGAAAATTTTGTCTATAAAGTGTTTTTTTTTTTTTTTTTTGGTCATGACAGTTTGCATTTGAATGCAACTTTCTTGCTACTATTCTGACTTTGCTTATTTATTCTTTCTTTTTGGTATTTTTCTATGTAATTGAATGTTAACCTTACTGTGCAATACTCATTTTCAACAAATCTCTCTTTGCTTATTACTTTTTTTCTTCTTGGAAAAAATACGTACTTGTACGGTGGCAAAGTTTTCATTATTATCAGAGTTAAAATTGATATCTCTTTTTTCTCTAAGTTTTCTCGTATTTCGTTTACTCATATATTCAATTAAACAAATTTCCAGAAGCCAATTCATAAGCACAAGTTTTCCTTGCAGCAAAACCATGGACCAGATGGAGGTGGACGAGAGCTGCCGTCGCCCGAGCTTAGGCAGTCGTCAGGCGCTACGGTCTCCGGAACACCGGCGCTCGTTGGATGTGAACGGCGGCTTCCCCGTCAAGAGTGGCAGCTTCCTGAACGACATCAACTCTAGACACAGCGATCCTATCAAAGCCTACAGCAACGGTGCCTCCACCGCTAATGGCAGACACAAATATAATGGGATGTCTAGAAAAAGTGATGAGACACATAGCAATGGCGGGCCCAAAGTCAACGGAGGGGCGAGTACCAACATCAGCAGAGTCAACGGAGGAGCCAGTACCAACAGCAGCAGAGTCAACGGTGGTGCCAATATCAACGGCGGATATATAGCCGATCCGAGTGATGAAATGGACCGTATAACGTCACCCTTGTCACCACCATCAGTGACTGTGATAGGTGGACACCATACCTCCAAATCCAACTACAATTCTTACCACAGTCAACCGTCCCACCCAAATGAGCCTGACCAGGCGCCCTCCACTCGTAGCTTCACGATGAGCCTCAAACATCTTCTTAGAGAGCAGGATGATTTCTGTCCTTTATAAAATTGACTGCAGTTGAATACAGGCTTAGTCTTGCTGTGGATTATATCTTTTAGGATTGCCATTATGGAACCATTGGTTTTCTGTGCTGTAAGTTCGTGTTGAAATGTGAACGCCTCTTCTGTACTGAACATGTTTAAGTTGATATGAAATTCATGCTGAACTGTGTTTTTTTTTTTACAACTTACTCTTCTCGTGCCTGAACTGGACTGTGAATAGTGGCTTTAATGCCATGAGTTGATTTTTATTTAACATGCTTTGTGCTTTCTTAAGAGCTTGAAATTATTATGAAGAGTGCGTTTCTTCCATTTTGATTTCCGAGAGTAGCTGCTCGGTGACAATTAAATGTAAATAAGTCGACCGTGCTAGCCTCTTCTACCATTGGAAAACGTTTCTTGATGAATTTATGATGTTAATATACCTATTAGCTACCACTGCAGGCAATTGTGAAGCCAAACTTATAGCGTCATAACTGCAAGATATTATGAGTCCGAACATTTTGCATCATAACTGCAGCCAATTATTTATGAATTCGAACTTTGAGCGTAAAATGCAAGATACTACTTATGAATTCAAATTTTTTGTGTCATAACTGCAGCCAATTATTAATTAATCCGAACTTTGAGCGTAAAATGCAGGATATTATTTATGAATCCGAACGGTAGGAAATTATTTATCAATCCGATTTTTTAACGTCATAAATGCAGTAAATTTGGGTTTTTAGGATTTGCATAAAATAGCGACAGAACATAATTCTCTCAGAATCGGACATAGTACTTCACAAATTAGGATTCATTCATGCATTCCATCTACTACCTCTAAAAGGTCCCGATATCTTATCTTAAGTTTCTGCACCTCCATTTGCGTATGTGATGGACATTGGAACTGAAATAGCCATGTTCGTTCCTCCACACATTGGACGCAGTGTCCAGCAACCACTTTTTACAAAAAAATCATGATTTTTATCTTCTATATTGTATATTCAGTAATTACAACAATTATATTTAATGGGTAATAAGAGTCACTCATCTATTCATGATATCAATAGGTTTAATATCAACTCGTACTTGTTAATGTTTTCTTTGATTTTATATTTATTTATATGTTGATCTTCAGCAAGTATTTCTCAAATGCATATATATAAGAATTTTCGCTGCTTCGTGTTGTAGTCAACATCAATATTGTGCCGTGCTTAGCATATTATTTTATCATGTAACTATTTATATTTTTCTTAATGAATTGATATTTACAGCATAATAATGTAAATTCTGAATAATCATGTAAAAATCATTATATAGTAGCCAGGCGCTTACTGGACGGTTATTGTGTGCGAATTTCTGTTCCTATTTATTTATGTAAGTTGATCGTTATTAATTCAGTCAACGATGCTCAGTCAAATATTATTTGAAACTTGATCAATCTTAAAGGCTTGAAATATTCTAGTAATCAATGACTCGCGCGTTCTCTTCTTCAAACATTGCTGGTCTCTGGCTACTCAGAATATAAGATTTTTTCTCAGTTATTTTCCTCATGCGAAGGCTTCTGTGAATCATACAAGAGATGAGAAAATTGAGAATTTCGCCCTAACATCGTGAAGGAATCAAGTCTATTTAGCGCATTGCCAAGGCAGGCGTTGCTTTATATGAAAATAAGGCATATATTACGTTTTGATTATAAGATTTGCATAAGTTTCTAATTTACATCTATGAACTAATTAATAACATTCTGGGATTATTTGATGGATTCTTTTGCAATGCAAATGTTAAGACAATCCCGTACAATTGACAACTTATTAGATGCTATGTTTACTTCATGTCTCATTGTGATGATTCTCCCGTCGCTCGGATGAAAAGTGATGCACTTCAGCAGCAATTGCTGTTTGAAAATTCACTTGGCCGAGGATGTTTTATGAAACGAGTTTCCCTGGACCTGTGTTATCAGTAAAAGGTGCAGAAATATATCCTCAATCAGATGATTTGTGCCTACACTTGATAAATTATGTGAGAAATATGTGAGAAGTTTTAGACTCGAATGTGTTACGCAATGTGCAAGTTTACTCTGATTTGAATAAATTTCATGTCAGACGATTGACAATCTGTGCGAGAAAAAGCTGTGAAGGCAAATATGAGTCCCAAAATGTGCGAGCAAAAAGCTGTGACTATAAGTAAATGTGTGTCGCAAATCGTTGAAACAAAAAACTGTGGCAAATTGCGCCAGCAAATCGGTGTTGCAAAGCTCAAGCTTACAGCTGTGACCAATTTTAATAAACAGCTGTGATAAACTATAACCAACAGTTGTGCCTACTTGTTAGCAAACGGGTGTGACGCACTGTAAGCTAACACATATTTGATTACGGTATATGTGCAAGCAAACATCGCTTTGGTGAACTGGAAGCCAACTCGAGTTTGGCTCGCTGATGAAGAGAGGCGTTCAAATTGACCAGAGGCGTTCAAATTGCTGGTGGTGGTGTAGTTTTGTAAAAAAAACCCTGTTGCAAGACTATAAATGGTGAAATCGTTTCACTATCAGTTTCCAGTGTTATGGTCCATTTATCCGATTCTATTCTCTATCATAGGTACGTATACTCGTATTTCTCTTATCCAGAGGATACCGGTACTCGTGTTTATCTCAATGGGCTACAGTTTTTATTTGATATTTTTCTAAATGATAGGGTGTTGATTACGCATCTGATGTTATTTATTTATTAGCTCATTGTTGCCTTGAAGCCTTTTATTATCTCATCTTCTAATGTGGATCCCCACAACACGACACTAGCTGTGTCTGAGACACCAGCGGTGATAAAAAATGAAAATTTAAGCGAGAGGGAAGATGGAAGCTCATCGTCATGCTGTTAAGAACGTAGCTGATAAGTGGTGGTACGATCTGAATTTGAGGTCTGATTCCTTTTGCTTGTTTCTTTGCTTTTTTCTTTTGACATATCCGTGTTACTGTTTTGGTTTTTCTCTCTCTGTTCATTTGTTTCATTTTTATTCTATATCCAATCGTTTTTTCCTAATTTGTAATATTTCTTGATTATGTCGTGTTGTCGATACCAATTGATTCAAGGAATTTTAAGACCGTGAAATGTGTCATTTGTGAACGGTAATTTGTACTTATTTAGACGTACTTTTCGGGCTTCATTTTCTTATTCACGAAGCTCGCTTTAATATAAATTAGAACGCGTTTTCAAAGATGGCGGTGCAGGTTCATAAAAGTCTTTAAAAAAACGTCTAAAATCACTGCAGCAGCGAACAAATAGAAAAATCTGGGGGCTAGCGCATATGAACTACCCTGAATAACGGTATTTTCTTCAGCGTCAATGATACCTGCAAGGTGCGGTCGGTCGTTTGTTTCGTTAATTATTGTTATTCGTTATCCAATCAGAGCTGCAAACCTACTTGAGAGAAACTCGTATGTTCGCCAGGTTAGTAGGATACATAATATTCAGCGAATCTAATTGTGATTTACATTGAAGCCGATGTGAAACTGAAGTGAGCCTAGAATGATAACCCTGGTCATATCAATAGTACGTTAGTTTAAAGACTAGTATAAATAGACTGGTAGCAACATAAGATATGTTTCTAGGTTTAATATTGGAGAGTAGGTACGTCATTGATATGAAAAGCTCCGTATTTGAGCTCTTCGTTTGTCCACTTAGTCGATTGAAGATTGTTTGCCCAAGCTAATATGGTTGTTAGGTTGAGTGCTAAAAGTGCGTTATTAAAGCACTCAGATTGTTATTGAAGCACTCAACAACAATAGCAATGTTAACTGTGCTGCGACGATTCAATTTCCAGTTCAACTTTTTTCGTAGGATTGAGAGCGAAAAATTTGACTGTCGATGAACATTTGCTGCTCCGATTGCGCGCGTTTGTCTCAGTCCATTTCGCGCCATACATCGGTACTGGTAACCTGCTACGTCTTAAGTTCCGTATTCCAAATTACCAAACCAAAGTACAGGGTGCGGCGTGGGAACTTACTCTTTTAAAAAAATCACAAAGTAAAAAGTATTAAAGATAGCGTTTTAATTCTTTCTTTTTTACAAAGAGCTACATTTAAAGTTTCGTTGGGTTTACTTACAAGTTTAATTCTTGAATATTACATCTTGTAGGTGACCTCCTGCATGGTCGCAACTGAACTGAGTGGACGAAAAACTTCATAGCCCGCGCACCATATTGCGCATGGCGCCACCTTCCTAGGACTAATGGCCGCCACGTGGCGCGCAATTCAAATAAGTAAGTTCCCGCGCCGCACCCTGTACTAGCTTGTAACATTAGTTGCCTGACTGGTTCAAGAAGGTGAAGCTCGTATACCGAAAATCAGTTGCTCACGCCCTCCTGACAATCGCCTGGGCCCATACTTTCAAAAAAAGTTAAGAGATTGTAAGTTCATCAGCCAATCATTGACGGTCTTTCAGGCAAAATCCACCAATCATAGACAAGAAAATAGAGCCTAAGTACTTACGTTCTCTTAACTTTTTTCGAAAGTATGGGCCCAGCTCTTGATCTTCATATTTTCTTGCTTGGTTCGTGGTTCGGTATATTTTCTTGCTCGCAAAAGTGAGTACGAGCTCCAGAACTGAATATTATTTGATATTGTTGATGTATTTTATTCCATTTTTCTTCTAAAAAAATTAGTAATAACAACAATCAATGGAGTTGAAGGTAAAGCGTTGATTTCCTAAGGTGTGAAGTTCTGATTACTATTTAAGAGGCTATGAAATTTGGATTATAGGTATGTAATTATGTAAAAACTGTAGGTAACGCTTTGCTTATTCATGGTATTGGCTTATCTTTAAATTTATTTATTTTCGAGTCGCAAAAACATAAATAATATAATTGAAAAGACAATGACAAGGAGAGATGATCGTCGTGTGTGAAAGACCTGAGCTTCTCATGCGATTGAGATAAGAGTACAATATCAATGTTGGGTACCTACCGGTATGAATTTTTAATATTATGTGTTGTTGTGTTTATGGAGAGACAGAATGACTACAAATGAACTTAAATGTCTCGTGTAAGTGCACCGACGATTCAAAATTTTCTTCCCAACAAAAAAACTCGATTCGATTTTCTCAAACAAAGGAACGTCGTCTCTGGTTAATTTGGGAACCGTTTCTACTCACTACAGATATCATTTGTCAAATGGTTCCTACGAATTAGTTAATTTCCAAGCGAATTATAAACATTGTCGTAGTTATAAAGCTAGTTACGCTGCAAAGTGAATGGCGGTCTTATTGGTAGTATATAATGTAATTATGATGTAAATGGAACTATATTACTTTAGGAACCCCTACTTGGGTGTCGAGGCCATATCATCCTCCGACTGTCTTGATGTCGGCACTATTATGCTGACAGTTTAGCTCCATCTCTTGTAAGCTGATGACAGAACTATTGCACTCTCTTGCAATTTTGGATGCTACTGCTGCTCATTTTTGATTAAGGCAGTCTTTGATTCGAAGATTTTAACCTTCAACTAATTATTTTTATTGAGACTGATTAAGTGGCGATAGAATCTGCTTATCCTTATAGTTGCGTTCATATTCGATCTATCTCTCTAACCTATCAAGGTATTTGAAATACCTATAAGCAATATGAGTGAACTAAGGGTAGTACGCAAACCAAAATTATCATCACATTATTTTCCTGAAGAGTCTAGTGAATTATTCAGTTCACACGTCCTTGATTTTGTTATGTTGAAGCTGGTTCTCTGCAAATCCTGGTTCGACTAAAGCCAATTAATTGCCAACAGACAACAGGTATTGATTACAAAGAATTGGAAATTCGAATTTTTTTTGCTCGTCAATGATATAATGGTAGGCTGGATTTTCTTAACCCAACTCTTGCTTCGAACAATTTTGGAGTCTCTCTTGTGATGGCAGAGCTTCCCTTGTTATGTTTAGTGGGCCGGTAGGCGCCGTGTCTTCCTGTGTCGATACTCGTTACGTTGAAATATAAATACCAAAAAATTCAGAACTCGTTTGACATTCTAGTCCACGAAATTTTTAAAGAACTAACTATTCTGTTAGCTGTTAGTTCAGCACGACTTTTGAAATCATTGACGGATTATAAGTTGTCAATGTATTGTGGCGGCCCTGAATCAACTCAGGTTTTCAAATGCGACAGGCGGTCGACTTTTCACAAGTTTGTGCATACTCAATTATTTAGACAACCGTAAGTCAAGCGGCTCGCAGGTGAAGTCGAATATAATTTTTCTTTTTGCCAAAAACGGACATGGAACTGGAATTTTCAATCCTTTCAAAACTTTGGTCACCGCCAGAACCTTAAGATGTTACAACTCGTTCATCCTCACATGGACGTCTTCCATTAAATTAGCCCTGGCAAGCGGTGACTGCATGTACTAGCTTCAGTGATCCGGAAACTTTTGTGTCAACAAACTCGACTAAGAAGTAATGAAAAGTGCACGTCTGAAATTGCTTGCCAACCATTACGCGAAAATTTAAAGTTTGCTCAGAAACTTTTTAACAAAATGATTATGTAGGACCTTGCTACCCAGAGTTTTGGAAATGTTCGAGTGTCGCGAACATACGGTTGTTTGTTGCGTTACTGCGTAACACCTAATGAAGGGCTCAGTTCCATTATGATGTTTCATTTTTTAAAGTTTTATTCCAAATATAATATATTGTTTCATGAGAGTCTATTGTATAATATGGTGCATATGAACGTTTTATGTATGATATGTGGAATACTAACCTATGGGATTATGTTGTTTCACTGACCTCATTTACTAAACGGTGACTTTTGATGAACCATTCGTTCTAGCAACACAGACCTCAGTTATTGGCTGTGCACTGTGCAGGTAATGAAATTACATTAGCTTTAGTTCTGGGGACAAAACTCTGTATCCTCTATACTATAAATGCCTTACACCAGCAAAATGTTAAGACCTCATTCCTTCAACTGAAAAGAGGGATAGATTCGCCTGGTAAAAAGCGAGTTGTAATGTTCGTAGCTCGATCTGAAGCTGGCCATAGCCCGCGACCGCTCGCTGAAGGGCAGTCGTTCGGCAATTGATTGCCTATAAACTCGATTTATGAGAGCGTAAATCTGCAAGACCAAGCTATTCGGTGACTACAAGTCTTGTGTGACTCAATCTTGTGCATCATGTTCCAGCACAGCGACCGATGACAGGCTCTAGGGCGGGACGACTAAACTGGACGACGGTACCTAGGATCGTACGCGGAGAGCAAGTAATAAAAGAAGGTGAATAAGCATGAGCATAAAAAAGTCAGCAAGCGTAAGCAATGTAAAGATTGTAACGTATAGATATCTGAGAAGATAGCAAAAAATTCTACAGCCTGAAAGTGATTTGGTTGAGAACAATGAATAAACTTTTGCCTGAGAGCAAAGGGATGAGTAAGAACGGTCCATAAAACATTGAATCTCAAATAGTTATTAAAATAACTAATGGAGTAAAAATAGCAAATCAAAAATTTATATCTGGAAATAGGTGTCATAAAGGTGATAAACAGGTTATGAAGTTCTTGAGAATGGAGAAAGTAAAAAATAACGTTGAATTAGCCAGCGTGTTTACCCACAAAGAAAAACTAACGGTTATGACAGGAAATGCGACATCTCAAGTTACCAGCAAATGAAAATTCTGAACGTACAACTTTGTGGAATACTTCAGAGCATATGATAAGGAAAACATTTTGATTGGTTCACAACTATCTAAATTTAGTGATCAAACTAAACCATTAATTTTTATTCTCCGCAATCTAGATTCAACACGAAATTGGTCCAAACTACGGTTCAAAATGTTATTCTCCAGTATCTCCATTTAACGCAAATTTAAGTGATCCTCATCAAGAGTCTTCTTCAGATAGGCGTGGTGGTGCACTCTGTAAAGCTCCAAAAGCTTCAAGTAATTGAAAAGCAAAGACATCGACTGTGAGATGTACTCAGTTAATAGGAGTAGCCACTCAAAAAAGTGTTCCAGTAACAGCGAAGGAACTGAAGTGCTTCGCAAACAGCGAACTTAAGAGCGCCGTATGAAGTGTGTCTATGAGCCGGAGTCTTTTTGAGTTCTGAGCAAATTGGAGCCTGAATTCGTTCTATTGATATCAAACGTCAGATATTCGTTACATTGTGCTTGCGTTTTCACATGTTCGAAATAAAAGCTGGACAGCACCGACCCTCTGCCATTTATTGGCCTAGTATCAGCAGCACGTGAGTAACAATTGGCTATGAAATAAATATTAATCAATCGCATTTGAAATTCGCAGAAGCCACCATGTAAGTAATTAGTCGCTTTATGTTTCTTTTAATTCTTTTAGACATAGGTTGAACATGGAACACGGAATTCTGTCAAGCAGTATTAATTATTCTGACCTGAATAATTTCTATTTTGCCAAAAAAACATGAGATAAAAAGGAATAGAAGGATCATTCAGTGCATTGACTGTGAATATTAATTTTATAAACTTAGTGCATGACATTTTTCGTGGCTCGGAAGGAAGCAAGACTTTTTCACTAGCGTAGAAATGTTTGAACGTGTTTCATATATTGTTTCACAATGGATATTTTTGTTATGCCAAAACGATGGTCACGTTTTATCCTATTCCCGTACTCAACAAGTGAATAAAAAGCTGATTCATTAATGAAAACAGAAATTTATTGAAATTCTCAATAATCTAGGACTATGAATATTAAAAATGCCGCTGTTGGTCACCGGATACACATCTCAACCACACAGTTTGGTGTTCCATATGACCAGCTCCATGTAGGCCAGTGGTTCCCAAAGTGGGCGATATCGCCCCCTAGGGGCGGTGGAAAGATTTTGGGGGGCGGTAAGGAAGAAAAGGATGGTAGGGGGGCGATAGGGGGGTGGTAGTCTGAAATCGATGTCATAAGTTCGAACGTTTGTTTGACGATTTGTACACAACACGTGCGTTTACGTCTCTGACAAATTAACGGCCGGCGATCACGGCAATTTCCAAATTCACTCGATGAAACTTAGTACACGTAATCATTAGGACCTAACGATAATGTTTAGCTCGTGAAAATGGTTTGAATTTTGCCATCGTTTGTTTGTGCCATAGTTATATGGCAATACGGGCCGAAATTCACGGTGATCAAGTAATTTTTTCCAACTACTGAACAGATTCTAACGAAATTTTGAATTTGCAGTCCTAACTACCGAACGGTAATGTTTGGCTAGTGAAAATTTTTCGATTGTGCCTTCGTTCGCGATTTTTTAGTTTTCATTTCACCTTCATTCGTGATTTAAACAGCAATACGTGTTTAAATTCGCAGTAATCAAGAAATAATTTCCAAGCTGCTGAACAGATTTGAACGAAACTTAGTTTTTAAATACCTAACCCCAGCAACGGTGATGTTTAGCTCGTTACAATTTTTTCGTTCTGCCTTCGTTTGAGAATTATACGGCTATACGTATACGCCTCTTGGTTAAACCGGCCGGTAGAAAAGCCAGTCGTTCCTCCTATATCTGTATAACTCGCGAACGAAAGCAAAATAAAAAATTGTCACAAGCTAAACATCGCCGTTGAGAGGTTAGGTAATTATATACTAAGATTCGTTGAAATCTGTTCTGTAATTTAGAAGAAATTTCTTCATCGCCGCGAATTTAAGTCACAAGTTACCAGGCGATACGGGCCGAATATATGGAAGTGTGTAATCAAGAATGACGGTGAAATGAAAAAAAAAACTCGCAAACGAAGGTAAAATAAAAAAATTATAAGCTAAAAAATCACCGTTTGGTAGTTAGGAATCTATATTCAAAATTTCGTTCAAATTTGTTCTATAGTTTGGAAAAAATTCTTTGATCAATGCGAATTTCGGCCTGTTTCGCAATATACGCGTAACTCACGAATGAAGGTGAAAAAAAAAAAACACGAGCTAAACATCACCAAGGACGTAGTTTGGGAGATATTACTTGATAATTGAATTTGGAGATTGGTCGTGAGACCGGCCACGAGTCCGGCCGTAAATTCGCCCGAGACGTCCTAGGTTTCTAGTGCTGAAACAGTTAAACAGCTGAAAAGCATATTGGTTCACTAATGGGGTTCAATTTGTGAAATACACATTTGTGTTTAACCTTTCTCTTTTAAAATTGCAGCGTACTAAATTTCAAGAAAGAGGCGTATGTCTGTGGGGGGCGCTAGAAATTCACTAGGGAGCCAAAGGGGGCACCAGCCTGAAAAAGTTTGGGAACCACTGATGTAGGCGCTCGAGACATCCTTCAGCCCCGCTAAGCTTTGATCAACCACAGTTCATTGCGACGGTTCCAGAAGTCCATGGGGGAGTTGTAGCCAGTACTGAAAAACATGCATTAATGCAATGGTCAGAATTTGTCATTCTTGCATCTGCATTAGTGCAGGATACTATAGATTAAGCCACATGGTTCCATAGAATAAACAATCGATGCATGATTTCAGGAGAATTGTTCTAAATCGAACAAGTATTTGTCGTCATTAGCAGGCCAGGAAACAACGCTTAATTAGTATCAATGATGATGAGCAGACCAGAGAGCAGCATAACAGTATTGGTCATGAACAGACATGTACAGTATAAAATAATAGTATAGGTCATACTATAAAATAGTATTTATCATACTAGTATTGGTCGTCAGGCAGGACTGCGATGCCTTCTGCTTGTACCATGGCTCGCAGAGTCTGACTTTCACGAGCGTAGTCTGCATCGTCAGGCCATCCTCCGATACGCCTGTTTATGCATAAATAGATATTTAATTATTTCGATGATCTATAAGCTATGTAACATTATATTGTTTTTTTATTATTATATTCAATAAGTTATAAAATAATCAAGATGAAGGACATTTTGAAGTTTGCTATTCATTGATAAGGAAATTGTTAAAATTTGGGGCTATCTGGGTCCACATGAATCTCACAATACCTGGTAAATATGGTGATCTGAGGGCGGTTTTCGATGTAGACTTCGGCTTCGGTGGGAGCAGGCACGCTGGCTTGGTGCGACTCCCCGATGAAGAAGCACATCGTAGTGACCACAGAGTTCGTTCCTTGAGGCCTCTTCTTGGATGTCACCGGCACGGTCATGTCGATCTTCAGCTCTGAACATGGAAATTATACGGCCACTTTGGTAAATAACGTGGTTACTGTCTGGAAAAAGTTTAATAGCTGTTTGATTCTTGCAGGAGAAGAACATTGGTGTATTTTTAGCGCATTTTCTCATTTATGGAAAAAATGCACTATTGCGCTCGTCTGTCCGACCGCCCGTCTGTCTGTACGTCGGTGACTTCACGTTTTCGTCGACGAGAAAATGCGCTCTCTGTCACTCACTGCAGTGAGTACTGAGTTATATTTTTTTTAGTAGGTACGAACACAAAAGAGTTCGAGTTCACTAACCAGCAGCATTAGCTCCGCTGATGTAGCGGAAGAGCTTGAAGAAAGGGTCGGACATGGAGGAGTCACCTCGAGGAGCCACGTGGTCAGTGCACACCCACTTGCGGGCGGGGTACTGACGCTCCTCAAAACCTGCCTGCGTTACAAACATTCTTCATCAGCGCAATTATTGATTTTCAATTTTACTGATTTAAATTCTCGTAGAGAATAAATATTGTTGGAAAAGATATTATTAAAGATATATAGTACCCATAGATGCAACAACATTAATGATTAGCAAGTTAGAGACATCTTTTATATATTATGTACCTATAAACGAGCTTTGAACAAGATTCCCTTTCAGGAAATGAAATATTTGTGATAGATTATAATTATAAGTATTCATTCAGTGTGAAAGCAGGATAGGTTTACTTACTTGAAATGTTCGAACCACCGTGTGCGGTGCTTCTTCGTATGTTTGGAAGATGGAAGCCACTCCATCGATCACATTGTTGATCTGCAAGAGGAAGTTAGTCCTATTGAGACATTGCATTCGGTTGTCAAATTGCATTGCTGCTAGTATTAGAATGCACAAACCAGAGATAACAAGAACTGCATATCATTTAAACATACTCATTGCTCATATGTATACACAAACATTCGCCAAAGTTAATTCCTGTAATCCATTTAGTAATAGATTAGTACAAGTGATCCAGTGGACCGGGAGCAAACGTTCGTTGCTTCAGCACCACAGAAGTTCAGGCTTCAGGGTGGCCCAGTGGTTAAAGTTCAGAGTACCAAGATTGGCGCAGAGAGGCGCGGGTTCGATCCCAGCTCTGTGCGCCAGTTTCTGGTCAGAATCGGCAAGGAGGCCGGGCGGTTAAGCACAGCAGAATTGGAGCAGCAAGTTGTGTGTTCGAGACCGCAAAATGCTGTGAATGTTCTGCGATGTTAATAATTGGCGACAGTCCTACGGCCTAATAACGCTGAAACCGCTATTATTGAGTTGACCGCGACTGAGGACTAAGAGCTCACCCAACTGAACTGCGCTGCGGCGCTGGCCACAACACAGCCGAGCACCGCCACATGGAAGAGAACTCGCATCACGTGATTATTGTCTGGAAAATACACGGTTAATGATTAAATTTTATGCAAGGACATTAAATCGCATGAAAACAAAGACCCGATATAATTGGGTATAAATAATATTCGTTATGCATTAGAGCTAATATACGGTGTCGAACTTGGAATGGACACAATGCATAATAAGGACTTGGAAAACGTGTTGCTTTTGTTGTTAGATCATATAGATTCTAAAGCCAATCGTTTTCATTTATAGGTTCTTTATAGTTGATCAGGAGTGCACAATAATGCATCACAAGCATTACAAAATATAATTTTTAACAGCGATTAATCTAAGCAGGAAATAACCTGGTTTCAATCAAGTAAATCTAAGAAGGAACAAACCTGTTCAATCGAGTGAATCGAAGCAGTGAACAAATCTATTTTAAATCAATAAAATCTAAGCAGGATCAAACCTGTTATAATCTATTAAATCTAAACAGGAACTAACTTGTCTTAATCAAGTGAAAGTAAGCAGGAAACAAATCTATTTACATAAAACAAATCTAAGCAGGACCAAACCTGTCTTAATCAAGGAATCTAAGCAGGAACAAACCTGTTTAATCAAGTGAATCTAAGCAGTAAACAAATCTATTTACATCAAATAAATCTAATCAAGACCAAACCTGTTTTGATCAAGTAAACCGGAGGAGAAAACTTAACAACCACCACAGACGGCGCTGCCTGGACAAGTGATGACGAGAAGGAGTGAAGCGGATGAGGCACCTCAGCTCAGTTGTCACTCGCCAAGGGCGAACGTTGCCAGAGGCTGCATGCGTTCATGATAGCATAATACGACTCCGACTTCATATAATAGGGTACATCATTTCTAAACAATTTCGAGTGGTAAATTGCAATACGACTCCGACTTCATATAATAGGGTACATCATTTCTAAACAATTTCGAGTGGTAAATTGCAATACGACTCCGACTTCATATAATAGGGTACATCATTTCTAAACAATTTCGAGAGGTAAATTATACTTCCACTTGCAATGAAACTTGAAAAGCGTCCATTTTGAGGAGCAATGTTAGAGTCGCATTTCTGAGTAAACCGTTGACTGACACAGTCGTTTCTAAAGTACCAAGTTGTTAAAATTTTCTTCTTTTATTTATATAAATAGATAAAGACCGTTACGTGAAATACTTTCAACGAACGCGCTAAGCTTTTGAGGAAGAAATAATGTGATGGTCAAGTTTGCAACGCATTTGACAAGTGTTATGTAACTGTCTGCTCTGTAACTCACTGAACTGTGTATATTGGTAATGATATATCATGCTGATTGCAACATGCTATAGAAAATATCACAGAGTTAAGTTACATTTACATTCTTACTTCGGGGCTATCGTTTTTTGATAGTCATTATGTAACAGTCTTTGAGTAACTCAAAGATCTTTGTGCAGAAGTCATTTTGAAACTTTGTTAAGCAACACGCATATTTTTCTGCAACAGTCTTTATGTAATAAGTTGCTATGCAATACGCTTATCTTTGCACAACAATTATTATATAACGGGCTATTGAGTAAAACGCATATCTTACTATAATAGTCATTATGTAACTGGCTATTGACTAACCTGCATACATTAGTACACATTATTTATTTAATATACTACATATATTAAAAACTAGTCATTATGTAACAGGCTATTGCGTAACACATATAACTTTGTACCTTTTTTAAACCTATTAAAAGACGCGTTTATTTTCGTACAACAGCAGTTACTGACACGAGGGACAGACTCACTACTGAACTTGTTGAAGTCTCATGTATGGTCGCATTCAAGGACATGGCATATCGTATTCATGCACCGTGTATGATTGGACTATATGCGCCTCCCACAAGAGAAAACATAACTAACTTTATAAAATCATAAGTTTAATCGATCTGATCAAAAGATTACTTTTATACCCAATGAAAGAAAACATCTAATGAAGAAACCACTTTTAATATCAACTGAACGCTACTACAGAACTAAGCCATTGTTATGTAACCAACTCATCTGTGTGACTATTTCATATACAACGCGTTAATCTTCACAACTGACCATGTAATAGCTGTTATGTAAAGATTTTTCTTCGTACGACTGTCATCAAGTAACAGGGTATAAAGGTAACAAGCTTATACATGTAAAACTTGCCTCATGAAACTGGCTGTTACGTAACCTGCTTAGCTTTGCACAACTGCATGGCATAATGTAACAAGCTGTAATGGTACTGTTTAACTTTATAGCTTCTTAAATAAGTCGTTATGTAATTCGCTATTTTGTTAGCCCCCGTACATTAATCCATACATATAATGTATCGTTTTCAAAAGTGCTTATCGCCATACTGTAGCTGTGATGCAAAAAAAAAACTTCGCACAAAATCCAATTTCCGTTAGCTGCCGACTTTACTTAACACATTATATTCGGATCAGAAATTCTTGGCCTATTTACATATAATTGGTTGAGATTCCTTTATGAAAAACGCTCTCCTCGAGTAACTAAGTTTTTTTTCTAAATAAATAGAATGAGCTTTACGATTACCACTTTGGTCGCTAGGGGATCATTACTCTAGACGTGAAGTAACACATTTTGTTATTAACATTTCTATGAATGTTAATATAATTCCGAGTTCGTAAGAAATGTGCCTGTATCTTCTATTTGCGTATAAAATTCACTTATGATTTAATGTCGTCAGTCACATACAAGTAGGTCATGGGAACATGGAAACACTGCTTGACTTGAAGGCAAAGCACCAGTTTTTCCTTCAACTAAATGCCTGCAGCTTACAAATATAATTTAAATATTAAGCATCCACTTCTACTTGAATTAATGCATACAAATTTTTATTGCTCGTGAATTTTATAACCTTCTGTGAAAGTCACTATATTTAAATGCAGTTTACAAGCGGGGAAAAAAATGTCACCGTCAGTACTGTAAGCTTTGACTACAAGTGAAAGTAAAAACAATTTTATGCGCATGAAGGCTATAAGTGGTAAATGGTTCAATACTTAATGTACATTGATTTGAAACATAGCACAATAATCTACCTGTGCTTCGCTTAAGGCATACAACATCATAATTGTCGAACTTTATCAGATAACCTTGCTGCTCGAAGAATTGTAAGTGTTAACCAGGCAGGATAACAGGAGCGTAGCAGATTTACCTTGGCCTATACTTTCAAAAAAAAAAAAAAAACGTTAAGAGATCGTAAGTTCATCCGCCAATCATTGACGGCCTTTCAGGCCAAATCCACCAATCATTGACAAGAAAATAGAGCGTAAGTACTTACGTTCACTTAGCGAGTTTTGAAACTATGGCCCCTGGCAGCTAGATTATGTTAGCCAAGTGTTAATCTGGTGCTTAAATTATTTGACTGACAGGCGAATTTATAATAGTAGGAATACTTTTTGAATGCCCATCAACTGAATAAATTTGAGCGACACCATCACTACAAATTGAACTATGACGGGCTCCATTATGTAAGGTTCCTTAAACATACTTAACATTGCCCTCCTTTATATCGTAATTCGTCGTACTTTTTCAGCAAACATATTTTGCATTTAATGTAAAAGCGGGCCATGATGATCTTCCAGTGTGAAATGATATCTTCCATTGGATATTCCATTATATCAAGAGGATCATTTCGCTGCGACGTTCATTGTAGCTCAAAGTAATGGCCCTCGCATGAGACCGGTCCGGTGTACCGAATCAGAACGTTCGCTGAAAATGAGCGTCGAAATCGACAAATTGAAGCGAGTCTACGACATGTACATGCTCGGTTCAAAGTTGAAAATCAGCGACCATGAATGCTTAAACAATATGGGAGTCTATACCATAAGAAGTACTTATATTATTAATCGATGCATCTGTCTCAAAGATGTACTTATATTATTAAGTATACTTCAATTATTGATTCATGGATCTGTCTGAAATATGTGGCATTCATATCGATTTCTTAGCCTGAAGCATTTATGTTCTATTCAACCAATACAAATGTCTGATTTGTAATAATTCCCGTTTGCAAGGAAACTGTTCAGTATTTCTGTCTTCTACTTACATCATAGTTGAGAAATTGCGTGATTAGATTTACCATCGCATCAATAAACGGATTGTTTATTTTATCCAATTAAATGCAATTTTTAGTTATCAACCTCTTTTGATGTGGCATCGCATTCTCATAGTGTAAGTTTGTGTTTGGTAATCTCTTAGGTTCATGATCCGAACCGAGCTGTATAAAAGATTCCATTCAGGCGATGAAGAATGAAGGCTCCATTCACTTATCGTGACTTGCCAAAATTAATTACAACGTGATTTTGAATGAAAGAAATGATTATTATTGCCGTCTCATAGATATAGTTGTCGTATTTTAAATCTCCCTGCACACCTACCTCTTTCAGCTGCATGTGCTCCTTCTCTTCGAACATTGCGACTGCCTTGAGTCCGAAATAAATTTTACAATTTTAGCTTCCAGCTCTTGTGCTTCATGTTTGAAGTTTTGGGAATCTTTTCATATTCTTAAAGTAAAGCCTTTCTTATATCATGCCGATAGTTCGAATCTGTATTAATTTGTTAATTGATGCTTTTTTTATGTCCGTTATTACACCTTTTTCGATCAAGCAAGGTTCAATCTCAATTAATGAATAATTTGCATCTATTTATGTTATTCTTACCAGCGACGGGAATTTTTGGAAACGGCGCTGTTTTTAGAAAGTTTTTCGTTGAAATATGGTGAGTTTTCTTGGGCTATTTACGGCTTTCATATATTTATTTTCCTCAAAAGTTTATCGACTGATTTATGTAGCTGAGTCACCACTGAAAACTTATGTGATATTTGGGCATAACATATAATCGACATTTGTTATTCGTCAACTTTTTATGTCTTTCACTCTACCGAAATAAACTTTGCCATTAGTTTCACTTTAATGAATCTCAAGTTTATGGAAATAATAGATTTGTAGCAATAGTTATTTATGTAAAAGTTACTATTCTGGTGCAGCCTTTTATATTTTTTTATATCTTTCAGAGAGTTAGGCTGGAAATAAAAATGTAGCCAACAACTTATTGTATCTTGTAATTAGTTGCATGAGTGCGACAAATAATAGAAACTGTACCAACACTCTGTTCGTGGGCAGATGAAGTTCCACGCATATTAAAAATTTATAAAGACGAAATGGAACTTTGCATTTCGTGGAAGAGGACAGGTGTCCTGGTTGTGTCGTGTATCTCTTCGTACCTTTAAACTCGTTTGCAATCCCAGGAAACAAGTGTGATGCCTGTCACATAATTAAAAAGTTGCAAAAGGATCTAAAAATTAACTGGCCACATTCGCTATGTAAAGCCTGACGTGTTGTGTGTGTACAATTTGTCACTGGGGACAAACCTACTCGCAGTACCGAGTTTCGGGTCACTGTTATGCTTCCCAATGATGGCCTTGCAATATTAAAGCAATTGCTTCCGCTAATGTGAAGAGGATGCTTAGCGTTTACGATTACGGCTCCCTCTGGACCAGGACGGAGTACTTGCGTACTCCCACTGCGCTCTTCACGGCAAAATAGATAAGCGGGATTGCTCGCGAACTTGTTTCGCGTGCGATGTTTGAAGTGATTATGCTCATACTAGAAGTAAATGGAATTATGCGCATGCAATGTTTCGCGTGCGATGTTGAAGTGATTATGCTCATACTAGAAATAAATGGAATTATGCGCTTGCAATGTTTCGCGTGC